GGCATATTTTATATTTTTTTTTTTGAGTTGTTTTGTTGGATATAATTGGCTACTAGTATTCTTTTGCTCCCGTTTGGTTTGAATTATTTACTTAAACTGACAACGACACAGTGAGTTTTCGACGGAAGCTGCGTTTGTGAATCGTCTCAGTCGTTTGTCCTGATGTCATTTGCACCCACTGCAACGTGTGTCGTCATAAACTAGACATGGCTTGTGTCAGAATCAACTCACTGGATTCCCTTTTTTTTCACTCACAACACCTTGAGTGCGACACTCCAATGAAGCTTGTCTGAGGGGTGACGAGCCGCGTTCTAGGGTTGATTCTGATGCCGATGCGTGTGGGTGTACGAAAAGCGTGTGTGGATGTGTGATGGTGTGGCGGTGTGTGGTGGGTTCTAGGGGTGCTGAGGTGTGGTCTAGAGTTGAGGAATTTGGGGAAATGCAAAAATCTGCTTTAACAGAATGGACCTCGTCGAAATCAGCGTCGTTCACAAAACAAGAGTCCTTGAACCAATTTCTACGCTGCCCGTACCCCTGCGAGTTCATCGTTTTATAGAACTCGGTCATCTGTGGTAGCTTCAGCAGTGCAAGCACAAAGTCCTCGTTATCAATCTCCATGGCAGCCAAAGCAAGCTGTTCGGCGTCCATAGTAGTTGACAATTGTGGAGCGACGGTCAGCACAAACCTCACCACTGGCAGGTTCTGACTTTGAATCGCCCCGTAGAATCCCTTCGACACTACGGATTGTCGGGAGGTTGTGGTAAAATTGACCCATTCCCAGAGATATACTACCGTCTCCACTTCCCCTCCGTTTTCACAAGCATGCAAAAACACTTGTGCCGGTTGAAGGTCATGGTTTTTCACGTGTTGGCGAAGGGCTTCGACGAGCGCGATGGGGTTGGGGGATACCGAGCTCGTCATGGCTGCAGAAATGTCAAGGTCCAGTTTGGATCGAATCAAGGCTGGCTCGGCGGCCAATTGGCAACATACCAAAGCAGCGTCTCCAACTTGAATTGCGTCGTAGAACTTGCGGATCTGGACGTTGACGCCTTCGTGGCGTTGGTACAATTCCCATCCCATCGTATTACCAAGCTCTTGGCCAGTGCAGCCGCAACATAGTGTTGCCTCTCCAGAAGCAAGAGGACAATGCACGGCCATCCATTCCACCACTTGTCGAATGCCGTGGGTGATAGCATGAGCGATCCAACGAATCCCAGGACGATGTGACAAGTTGTTGGCCACGTTTAAGAACTTCGAGGATTACGACGAACTCCTCTTGATGGCAACGAACACGAACGACGAAGAGTTTGCCCTACGATGTCTGTCATTGCAGGCCGTTCAAACCTTCGTGACTAGCGTCGAGGCTTCATTTGAGCCACTCTATATTGCCCCTACATCTGTCTACGAGGGAAATGTCCAAGTTGGTGATTCAAAGCCAAGACGTGGGTGTGGCGACGACGTTGCGGTAGTATTCCACCAGGGGGAAGTTACGGGATTGCGTCGCCAAATTCGCGTGATTAGACAAACCACGCGAATATTTGGAAGTTTATAGCGAATTCACAATATATACCTTTTTTTTGATTTGACGTTGGACGTGTTGGTCATGATATATTTGTTTGTAGCGCCAACATTTTGGTCGACGACTCGTGGAACGCCAAACTTGCGGTACGATTCCTCTAGCGTCTATACGATCTGCAACAAGTGTGTTGTGTTCTAATAATATATAAGACTTGATAATTTTTATGATTATTCTATTGAAGGCTTGATAAGTCTCTGAATATTCAGCAATGTATCTATTCTTGTGATATATGTATTGCTGAAGAAATATATATATTCAGAAAAGTGTGAATTTGACGGCATATCATGGTTCCTTGTCTAGTGACCTCTAAAATAATTTTAAAAACTTTTATCATTTGAATATCTATATTTGTATCGATGTTTTAGTTGTACATTCATCAAAAGTATAGTATAGTCGAGGGTTATATATATATATATATATATATATATCATATTTTCAAAGGATTTCGGCACCCGACAAGTGAAGCCGTCAGCGCAAAGTCGACATGACCGCCGAGAACTCGCAAGGCGCCGACATTTATAGCCTCGGGTACGGCAAACCTATCTGGGCGAAGTGGATATTATTAGCCAATCAGATGTCTTGGCGCGGATTGTTCTCGATTGACTGTGATCTCCGAATTCTACGCGCTTCGACTCTTACCTTCACAACCCCCCAAAGTACCAATATAACACTACGTGGTACTGTATTGTCAAGTCGATTCGAAATTGGAGTAGGGTGCTCAATCAGATGAGCAGCACCAAATCGACAGACAATCGATATATCGACCAATCCAAACCCAGAACACGAATCAAGTAGCCAATCAAATCCACTCTTCGAATAATTCAACATCGAATTTGTGTGACACCGGACAATCTTTACGTACAAAAATCAGTACAAAGAATCGATGCATCGAATCAGCACAAAAGTCCAAGGACAATAATAGCATGAGGATGTGTCGTGCAGCCTCCATGTTGTGTAGGAGTTTCCTGGACTTGTAGCATACTAGTACGCAGTAGTAGTTGGCAGTTGGAAGACGAAGCATTCGGTAGTTGTGTTGAGGGAGCAAATGAGTGTAACTTACGATGTGGCTCGATCACGTCCTCACATCTCTACAAAAGACAAAGCAAACGTGGCCACATTAGACATGATCAAATGTGCATGTTTTATGTTCTACTGACACGAAGTTGAGTTCACAAGGTAGGACTTTTGAACTTGTCGACGCAAGGCCTTTTGAATCTCTTCAAATGTTAGGCAACCAGCAATGCTTGGGGCTGGAGGTTCAGTATGTACGAAAGTTGAATCACAAATTCTCGCTAAGTTGGGCGTATATGAATTCATGATAGCAACCCTCAACTACATGTACTTAAAGCGTGAACTACAGTAACAACAGTAAAGTTACTGTATATTGTTGGGTGAAGCAAAACCACACAGTGGCATTTGTGAACTGGTCGCGTGTGTCGGAATCGTCATTTCGCTGGACGTTGTGAACTAATCTTATTTTCGTCATAATATACATATAGTTGACATCCACTTCCAAAAGGTTGCAATTGCGAGGCAAGCAAAAGAAAAGTGTCTTATCTGGTACTCCTCAGGGAGTGGTGGCATACCGGTACTGTATGTAGTTCGTGGTGTTGTCACTGAGGCCAACACTTCTGAGCAGCTTGATAACGTTATACAATAAATACCCCTTGGAATACGTAAGTCGACCCACATCCATCCCGAAATGCAGACATTTCATTGGGCATAAAGTTTGGGACGGAAGACATGTTTTGCGATCGCAGGTTCAAATTCGCATGCGTTCATCCAAAATTGTAGTATCATTTTACCACTAGTCTCTACGTGCACGTTCTGCTCCAGACACCTGCTTTGTTGTAGTGCTTTGTTCGGCGACAGAAGCGCTGAATGACGTTGTCAATAACTGAAACGGCAGTGGAAAAAAATCTGGTGTCACCTCTCCTGGAATTCGACGAATGTCTTTCCGGATGTATCATCCGGTTCAATAGATTTATTACCCTTTCTCCAAATTGTTCATTCTCCATTTCTCCACGCCCATCAACACAATGTCGTCCACGGCCACACGCGACATCATCACCAGCAACTCCACGATGCTGGGCTTTCAAGCAGGCGCCGTCGCCACCGCTGTTGCTGCTGCTGGCGCGACTCTCGCCCACTACAACTCGACGTTCTTCCGCACCCGTCTGGGTGTAAGTGGCAAGGTGGGGCTGGTTGCGTCGGCCGGCTTAGCCGCATTTAGCATTGCCGCGGAACGCGACTTGCTCCGGGGTAGTCGCAACCCCGACGAATACCTCAGTGAGCTCCAAGCCAAGAACAATGCCACTGCGGATACCGTGACGGCCCATCACGACAAGCTGCCACTGCACCAGCAAGCCGCAAACTACGTGCTCGACTACCCATTCCGTACCCTCGCTGTCACGGCGACCCCTCTGGTGGGGGCGATCTATTTGCATCAGAGCCACAACGCGAACATCCAATTCTCCCAGAAGATCATGCACACACGCATTTACGGCCAAGGTTCGTGCGTAGTCCTGCTCCTGAGCACGATGGCCTTCTACGATTACATGTCTCGACGAGGTCGCTTCGAATAACTCATCGTACACTAATTTCAACCAACTGTATACTAGTACTGTAATGCATCGCTCCATATTTCCATATTGCGAGGTTATTCAGCCCATACAATGCACTAAGCCAGTGGTGCACACAGTGGAAGGTCACTTCATCTCAAAAGTCAAAATCCATAGTTTGAAGTATTGTAAAGTTTTCTGGCACTGTACTTCCAGTTGTTTTCTGCCTACTAACAAACTAGTCATTCGTACTCCTTAACACCAATATAATGAGCTCATTTCTCTGTCCCATCGTAAAGCTGTCGGTTAACAGTCCCAACCCGGGGACGGTACCCATAGACCTCCATCGTTCGAGTGTTATGTCTTGTCGATACCATGACAGGTACTAGTGTTGCAGAATGGATCGACGCAGATTCACTACCTGAACTCTACTATTAGTACAGTATTAGCTGGTTGGTACTACATCGGTACTGTAGTTGGCCATGGAATTTTACTCGCGGCAAACTACTCCTTGCAGGAGACTTACCACACCTCATTGTTTTTGGTTGAACCCCCCAACATTTGACTTTGAAATTCATGTGTAGTGAGTGTCTTTGCAACCGCCAAAAGTGCCTTTTGGTTGCTTGATCTGTCACTGCCACGTCATGGTTTCGTAATTCGTACAACTTCGGTTCGTTTTTTTTGGCGGATTATCCGGATACTGACGTCACGAACCAGTCATTTTCCGGATGTTTCGGACGTCCACAACGTTCACATCGACATTCTGACATCAACATGTCCACGGCTGCAACCCGCGACATCATCACGTCCAACTCGGCAACGTTGGGCCTGCAAGCAGGTGCTGTCGCCACCGTCGTCGCCGGTGCAGGCGCGACGCTGGCCCACTACACGTGGCCCTTCTTCCGCAACCGATTGGGGGTGAGCGGCAAGGTCGGGTTGGTCGCGTCCGCCGGCATGGCCACGTTTATCATTGTGGCCGAGCGCGATTTGCTCCGCGGTAGCCGCAACCCCGACGAGTATATCAACGACCTGCAAGCCAAGAACAACACCGCGTCGCCGTCGTCCCCCGCCACCGCAGGCAAGTCTCACTCGTTGCCGCTGCACCACCATTTCGCAAACTACTTGCTCGACTACCCGTTCCGCACCCTCGCCATGACGGCGACCCCGCTCGTGGGCGCCATCTACCTGCACCAAAGCCGTAACAACAACATCCAATTCTCTCAGAAGATCATGCACACGCGCATCTACGGTCAAGGGACGTGCGTGGTGCTGCTGCTCAGCACGATGGCCATGTACGATTTCATGTCTCGTCGAGGCCGCTACGAATAAGCATGCAACATGCGTACGACCCCTGACTGTGGATCGTGGAATACTACCAGCCACGACATGATTATCAACTCGATACTAGTGTTTGGAGTTGCTGTCGCCCTTTGCTAGCATAATCTGAAGTGCATTTACTTACTACCTACACTTCGAAGGTCCGTAGTGTACCCTTCAAATAGCACAACCAACTTATGCTTATAAGGCGCATTGACTTAGGGAGCTCTATCCAAGCTACAAGCTATACTAATAGTTTGCCAACTCGGTGGGCTTGTAAAGTAGCCTAGAGGGCCATATATATATATATATATATGGGGCATCAATTGTTCCATGTACCAATGGTTCATGCGTTTCGGCGTCGATACCAGAGGATGTACGGGGTATCAGTCGTGGACTGCATCAACGTGTGGTGGACCAGGCCTTCGTCCACACTCGTCACGCGGCTGTCGTTCAGCAGCACCCAACGTTCCTGCAGTCACGTCATCGCATATTCACACAAAACATTGTCGCACACGAATCAATTCCTGTACGGTTCACAACGACAATTTACATACTGTATGCAAACGAGATTTCAAATAAGGCCACACGATGCGCACAGTATCTCAGACAGCTCGTGCGTACCTCGTGCCGAGCAAACGTGTAATAATGGCCATGGTCGGCGCGGCTGCCGGCGTGGATGGTGGCGGCGTACAGATCGTACGTGACGTGATCACCGCCGAGGTTGGAGGGGAGGCCAACGTCGACGTTGTTGTGGACGGGAAGGTGGAGCGAGGTCGTGCACGCGACGGGGGTGCACACCTTTTCTCGCACGCCTCTAACCATGACATGCATGACGTGATCCCATGTGGATAACGTCATCATGTTACCGTTGGAGGTTGTACTGGAATCGACTCATCGTGACCAATAAATGAGACGGGGCATCGGCGACCACCGTTCGTTTCGTTGCGTCCACGCGGTCGTGGCACCCATCACAAAAGTAGGCATTTGCGCCTCTACCAAGTACGATGATTACGTCATCTAGATATGATGGAGGATCGCAATGATCACGTCATCTTGTTCAGGATGCATCGCGTACGTCAAGGATTCGGTGGCAAACTGGGCGCGAAGCAACGTCAGCAGCGGCAGCGGCGGGCCGATCGCCGCCGCCGTCGGCACTGGCACGGGGATGTCCAAGAACTCCTCCGTAGTCGTCGACACTGCGTGACATCGGCTGCACGTGATGTGTCGCGCATACTTGCCAGTGAACACCGAGTCCTTCCACGCTGGGGCGGGGTCACGACGTGCTGTGACGTGGTCCCACACATAATGCAAAAACTCGGATGCATCTTGTTGTCGGCTGGTTTGAAACTCAGCGGCCAACGTCGCGCGAAACCTGCGACATGTCAACACAACGTCATCGCATGCCACGACGTGGACCGTGTCGCATGTCCCTTGACGTACCGAGTCACGTGCTTCACGTCCACACAACCACTGCCTTGAGCGTGCATTTGCCGCACCAAATGGAAAAATTCGGTCGCCACTGAGCTACTACTACGATTACTACTAGTAGTACTAGTACTAGTCGTCGTGGTGGTGTCAGCGCCGAGTCTTCGTTTGAGTTTGGTCGAGGTTGTGGTCAAGCTGGCCACGGCAAGCGATCGCACGGCAAGTGTGTGATACAGTCCCTACAGTGTTATTGTCAAGTCGATTCGAGTGGGGTGCTCCGAGCATCCGATTGGCAGACAATATCGATATATCGACCAATCAAAACCGACAACACGAATCAAGTAGCCAATCAAAACCACTCTTCGACCAAATCAACATCGAGTTCAACCAAATTTTGGGTACAAAAAACACAATCCCTAGCTTCAAAGTGCACACTCCACAGACAAGGTCGAGAGAGAGCCTTGTACCTGAAGCACAGAGTTCATGTAACAAGTGTTGCCAACGTTCCGCAGGCCTACAAAGCCTGGAATATCGTCGGCATGGCGACGGGTCGCGCTCGGCGAGTAGTCTGACGGGGAAATTTGGCTGTCGATAGTTGCAAACGGAGACTCGTGGCCTTGTTTGCAGTTTGTCCAGCGTAGGTCTTCGACAAAAGCCTCTACAACCACCCTCAAACACTTGGCACAATGGAAAAACAATGAAGATATATTGTGCTTTCGAGTGAATTTTCATTGTGGCGTGGTTTCTGGGTGGAATTTAAATCGAATTGATTGGCTACTTCAGATGAGCTAAAAAAACTTATTAGCCAATCAAAACCGTCTCAATGAAATTCAACCAATCAGATCGATTGTGGATCAGTTTGGTCGGCGCGATTCGATTGCACCCCCACATTTGTATATCAAATCGACAATATTGAAAATTCGCTCTAAACTCTACACACGTCGTATTGCCCTGATGAAAATACAGCAACAACATCGTCGCAGAAACGATACCAATGGATATATATATATATATATATAATATATATATACACATACATGCGCTGTATCGGGAAATCGGTGCAAGTCGTGTAGATGACTTGGTATAGTCTTAAGTCGATTCTATATTCGAGCGACATGGAGAATGAATCGACATAACGAAATGTACACACAAGAACCGGTAGAAGAATGGAGCCAATCAGATTGCAGGAAACCATCATCAACGTCGAATTAGTGTGTGAATTCAAATAGTGTAATAACAATCACCACACCTTTTTACATACAAAGTTCTGTACAAAGAAGAATCGATCGATAGCTTAAGCGAATCAGCACACAAGTCCAACTTTGGGGTAAGAGGACAATACATATATATATATATATATATATCAATTGTACACTATGATCCATGGATGTATAGAAATTATTGGACAGTACCAACGTCGAAGGTTGAGAGTGGAGGAAGCAACGTGCAAAGGTGGCGGAGCTTGGCTTGAACGAACGGATGACCGGGGAAGGCGAAGAGCAGCCCCTGGAGGAACTCATGCAGGTACACTAATGTACTGTGTGGCAAGGCCGAGGGCGGAGTAGTGACCCACGGCGCCACACGGTCGTAAAAGTGAGGGAAAAACGCCAAGAACACGTCGGCGTTCTCTTGGAAGCCGAGGAAGATCGTTTCCAGCACGACGAGGCTGCCGTGCACGGTGTCGGCGCTTTGAAGTTGCTCAGCAACGCTGAGAATGACGTCGTTGCCGCCGGTGAGCAGCACGGGCCATTGCTCGCCATGGACCAGCAGCAGCAGGACTTGCTTGAGCCAAGCGCATGTGTGCCCCACCATGGGCAGCCGACCGCACTTGATGAGGATGTTGGCGAGCTTTTCCGTGTTCAAGTACAGATCTTTGACCACGAGAAAGGACGAGAACGGGACGCACGGACAATGCTGGAACACCGCCACGACACGACCTAACGTTTGTGCTGGCCGCATGGACAGGAACAAGAACAGCACCTTGATCACAGGAATCCACTCCGCGTGCCGCGTTTCCATCTGCATCCAGCGAAAGCAAGCGTCGTCTTCTGATGTGGCGGGGTTGTTCAGGTACCTTCGAGCACACACGATGAACTGGTTCGGCAGTTGACCCAACGCATGCACGAGCACACAAGCCAGCGCTGGCGTCGAGCCTTCCGGCCACAAGGACCAGCAGATACCACTGATGCTCAGATGTTGCTCTCGAGACAACGAGCACGACAAGATGTGGTCAATGCATAGCTTCTTCTCATCGTCAGACTTGTCGCTTAGAAGCACTCCTTGAAGGATTTGGTCCATGTTGCGACGGTGCCAGGAAAGTGAAATATTATCCGGATGCCCGAACTATCCGGAGATTTAGAAAGTACAGGAATAGATGATTCATCTATATATTATAGTCGCCACTCACGTTGCATTGCTGTCCTATTCTGAAGCACTTAGGTGTGGCATTAAAAGCACCTTTCGAGCCGCCCTTGTGTCGTCATGTACTTGTAGGTAGGACACTATACTTGCTTAATCTAACAGACTTTCGCGTTTCATGTATTAGAATAGATGAATATGGTAAGTTGCTTAAATAACGTTAAATGATATTGAAGTTGGATCTTCTGGGCAAATTTCAAATCGGACCATGGATGTCAACGAAGCCAAGTGCTTACTGGAGCGGCATGCCGCCGCGCAACAGTCGGCAATGGTACAGGAAGACGATGGGTCGATTCCGAACAGCGTTAAGGAAGGCACGGTCCGTCGCGCCAAGCAGACAGTGACGGGGCTCGTCCTTCTCAACGTCGCCATGTGGGTGGGCACAATCTGCATCAGTACCACGTACATTCACTTCCACCCCTCCACTCTGCCCATGCTCGTCTACAACATGTTCACAAGACTCGCAACATGTAGATACCCCGTGATCCTGTCGCCAGCGCTGGTAGCGTACTCGTTGGGACTCCGACATGCTGTGGATGCCGACCATGTACGTACAGTACAGTATAGTAGTACACACACATCACGATATGTCCTTCCTCATATAGTATCGTCATCTACTATCTTTCAGATTGCAGCGATCGATAACGTGACGCGAAGCCTACTCCAACGCGGCCGGCAATCCGTGACCGTCGGGTTGTTCTTTTCTTTGGGCCATTCCAGCGTCGTGGTGCTCCTGTCGGTCGTCGTTGTGTGCAGCGCGTCCGCCGTCAACTTGGACACGAGCAAATCCATCGGCGCCATCGTTGGCGCGTCGGTGTCGGCGACGTTTCTCTGCTTGATCGGTCTCGTTAACGCCGTCTCGTTTGTCCGGTTGTTGCAGCAATGGAATGCCATCTCGCCTTCTTCCTCGCAAGGGGGTGATCTCCACGATGACGACGTATTGACTCCTTCAGGGGTCGGCGGCGGCATCCTGGCATCCTGCTGTCCGTCGCTGCTCAAGGTCATCGACCAGCCCTGGAAAATGTACCCACTGGGGTTCCTCTTTGGGTTGGGTTTCGACACAGCCTCCGAAGTGGTACGTGGACTACTAGTCTCTCCATCCGTCAAAGTTGAAACTGATGTACACCATGGAGGCGTTGCTGGCGATCTCGGCACTCGCGTCTCAGTCGGGAGTGCCGTCGTGGGTCGTCTTGGTGCTCCCGGGACTGTTTGCATGTGGCATGAGCTTAATCGACTCGTTGGACGGTGTGTGCAGTAGTCCCATGTATGATTCCTAACGACACAATGGTGTCCAGGGATCTTCATGCTGTGGGCGTATGGATGGGCGTACATCCACCCCGCGAAGAAGCTGTTCTACAACATGTTCCTCACAGGTCTGTCGTCGTTCGTCGCATTGTTCATCGGAGCCGTGGAAGCCGTCGGGATCTTGGTTGCCCGAGGACTAGTCACTGGATGGGTCGCCGATATCGTTCTAGGCATCAAGTACGTCACGTGACTGTCATGCTCATGGGATGCTCATGAGAGGTGGTTGGTGCGTAGTGACAACTTTGAGCTGTTGGGGTGTGTCGTCATCGGGCTCTTCGTTGTGTCGTTCGGCATCTCGTACTTCGTCTACGAAGTGTTCTTTGCCGCCAAGGCGGCGGCAGTTCCATGTGGACAATTCAATAGGGCAAACGTTTGAAATACCTTAAATATAACGCTATAAAACCTTAAATTGGATTCAAAACCCTAAAGAAGATGCATGTCCACCCAACAGCATTTTCAAACATCATGATTGTGATGGTTCTGTCACCGGCCAAGACCCTCGACATGTCCGAGGTAGCAGACGACGTAGAGAGCACCCAACCCATGCACCTTGACGATGCATCTGAGCTGGTAGACGACACAGTCTCCTTGGTTAACCAAATGCTGAACAAGGAGGGGCTATGTATGCACGTAGATCCACGGCTTGCGGAAACTCTCGTTGGCCAAAGTCAAAACGTTGCTAGGCGTGAGCGATGCCTTGGCTAAACTCAATTACGACAGGTATGGCGACGCATATCTATAGTAAAGACGGCGATGGTAATCGTTTTTGCCAAGGTACAAGCACTTCATCACGGACATCCCGACGACCACATCCACCAGCGCATTCAAACAGGTAACTCCTCATGCCGTCTCCATTCACTACGTCATGACCCTTTATCAGGCAGTTTTTTCATTTGACGGACCTGCGTACAAAGGCCTCCAAAGCGCGTCGTGGACCCCCGAGGACTTAACGTTTGCACAGGCGCATCTTCGCATTCTGTGCGGGTTGTACGGTACTAATCATGCGATTCTTCCAACAGTTAGCATCCTTCATGACGATACGTGTATATGTGTAGGCACGCTGCGGCCATTGGACTTGATTCAAGCGTATCGTTTGGAAATGGGCTCAAAGGTACAGCATGGTCGCGGCCCCAAGGACGGGTTGTATGCGTTCTGGGGCCGCGCCATAGCCGACGACATCAACGCCGTCTTCGCCCTTCCTTCTACAGCTGTATCATCCTCGTCTTCTTCGATAAACATCTTGCTCAACGTTGCATCCGTTGAGTACTTCAAGAGCGTGGACATGCCGTCCCTCGATCCGTCCATCGTTGTCGTCGACTGCATCTTCAAAGACGACGGCCAGATCAAGTCGGTGTTTGCTAAACGGGCGCGGGGCCTCATGGTCAACTACGTCGTGACCAGTCGAGCGGCCACGATGGACCACCTCCGGGCGTTCCAAGCAGACGGCTACGTGTACAGCCGCCACGAGTCCACTGACACGCAGCTCGTGTTCAATCGGTCCAAGGCAGCCGCCGCCGCCGCGCTCAAGAGAGCGAGGGAAGTGGCGGCGATAGCCAAGCTACATACGAAACGACCGAGGAATGACTTGGAGATGGACACTTCAGTTGACGAGAAGCCACATAAGCCGAGCCAACGGACCATGTGACCATCTTGATGACATTTGAGAGTGTGACGTCCAACTGTTTGAAACGTCATGCCACGTCATGATGCACCGTACGGAAACGATGGGTTCTGACGTGATCCGGAGTGGTAACAAGTGCACGTCCACAGTGGCCCAGCATCGTGAGTCCCAAGTGCAATCTCGTTTTCCATAACGTTACTATAAGGGACCAGTCCACAGTGTAATCGGCCACTGTAGCCAAAAAGTAATAGTCTAGAACGACGCCTAGCTACAGAACCACGGGGCACGAGTTATCATGTGCACCGTACTGCTTATTAGAGTACTGTAGTGACTTGGCACGGCATGCGTTGTGTGTACGCTTACTACTTCGAAGTAACGTTACATAACTTACCAGTACTTCAGCACTACTATGTACTAGTATTAATACTACTATTAGCTAATAACACTAATCCACCAACAACCCTCGATCATAGATCTTTGTCATCGCAACGAAAACGTGGCCACGTCAGTGTTGACAGGATGAGGAGCGTTTTGTCCTTGTCCTGTGGTCAGCCCGTGTGGTGGTGGCGACACGACGGTACCACTCGCCAAGAACGGATGGGCCAACGCTTGCGTGGGCGAAATGCGCTGGGCAGGGTCGATCTCGAGCATGCGCTGCATGAGGTCCACGCCATGGACCCACCGGCGACTGTCGACGTTCATGCCGCCGCATTCCCGGATGCATTTCCGAAGATTCGCGACGACGTGGAGCTGCCGGGTGGCGATTTTGTCAGCGTTGCGCCCGGTGGCGGCGAGGAGGCCGCCCATGACGAGTGGCTTCTTGTCGTCTCTTATTAGAGTACTGTAGTGACTTGGCACGGCATGCGTTGTGTGTACGCTTACTACTTCGAAGTAACGTTACATAACTTACCAGTACTTCAGCACTACTATGTACTAGTATTAATACTACTATTAGCTAATAACACTAATCCACCAACAACCCTCGATCATAGATCTTTGTCATCGCAACGAAAACGTGGCCACGTCAGTGTTGACAGGATGAGGAGCGTTTTGTCCTTGTCCTGTGGTCAGCCCGTGTGGTGGTGGCGACACGACGGTACCACTCGCCAAGAACGGATGGGCCAACGCTTGCGTGGGCGAAATGCGCTGGGCAGGGTCGATCTCGAGCATGCGCTGCATGAGGTCCACGCCATGGACCCACCGGCGACTGTCGACGTTCATGCCGCCGCATTCCCGGATGCATTTCCGAAGATTCGCGACGACGTGGAGCTGCCGGGTGGCGATTTTGTCAGCGTTGCGCCCGGTGGCGGCGAGGAGGCCGCCCATGACGAGTGGCTTCTTGTCGTCTCTTATTAGAGTACTGTAGTGACTTGGCACGGCATGCGTTGTGTGTACGCTTACTACTTCGAAGTAACGTTACATAACTTACCAGTACTTCAGCACTACTATGTACTAGTATTAATACTACTATTAGCTAATAACACTAATCCACCAACAACCCTCGATCATAGATCTTTGTCATCGCAACGAAAACGTGGCCACGTCAGTGTTGACAGGATGAGGAGCGTTTTGTCCTTGTCCTGTGGTCAGCCCGTGTGGTGGTGGCGACACGACGGTACCACTCGCCAAGAACGGATGGGCCAACGCTTGCGTGGGCGAAATGCGCTGGGCAGGGTCGATCTCGAGCATGCGCTGCATGAGGTCCACGCCATGGACCCACCGGCGACTGTCGACGTTCATGCCGCCGCATTCCCGGATGCATTTCCGAAGATTCGCGACGACGTGGAGCTGCCGGGTGGCGATTTTGTCAGCGTTGCGCCCGGTGGCGGCGAGGAGGCCGCCCGTGACGAGTGGCTTCTTGTCGTCTCTATATTTCGAGTCCACGCGGGCTTTGAACGGCAGCCACAGCGGGACGCCGCAGGCGATTTCGAGAAACACACACCCGAGTGACCACATATCGAACGAATGGGGCCGGCTGTGGGCGTCCAAGTACGCCTTGACGTGGTTTGTTTGGTGCTTGGTGCGTAGGAGCTCGAGAATATCTGGGGGGACATACCTACACGATGAAGTCCATAGTGAGTGAGCTAAGGTTCATTATTCGAGGTAAGATTGACAGTGAAGCATTGATGGCTTTTCTTGGCTACGATGATAGCAAATCCACAAACAATCGGTACTTGGTTACTGCCAAAGTGGCTACGAAAGGGCATCCGCGTATATATATATATTGGTAAACAAACGCACGCACTCTGGGGTATGGGCACTAGGTAGCCGTGGCGACGTCGAGGTAAAGGCTGAGCCAAAATCGATCAGTTGAACCGTAACGCGTCCGACTTGTGGGTCGATATGATGGCTTGACGGTGGTCGGCTTGAGTAGTTGTCGTCATGGGGGGGTAAAGTTGGGGGGGTTGAATACGAGTGGCGGACTAGAATGTTGTCTGGTTTGATATCGGCGTGTACAATGTGGTGGGCTCCAAGTGTTTGTACAGCTAGCAGCAGCTGTCGTAGAAGGGACTGTTCCATCCGTCCATGTTAGACATCATGCGCACAAGTGTTGACGTATTCTAGTCGTGAAGAGGTGTGGTCGTACTTTGAGCAAACATACGTTGTCCCGCATGGCTTCGTACAACGGGCGGTGGCAGATGCGATACGACCGAGAGCCATGGAGGAATTCCCCGCGTATGTCGAAGAGGGCGTTGTGGAGGGTCTCCCCTCCTTGCTCAAAGACCAGCCACAGGTCCTGCTTGGTCTCCACTACAGCCAAAAGCGGAACAATGTACATGGGGATGTTGACAGGAGCGGAAGGGGGTGGTGATGGTGCGAGTGGGGGATTTTCGTCAGGACGGTAGTCCAGAATGATGGTCTGTTCCTTATTGATATTGCCGTCGACGATGGTGGCGTTGAGCTGTGAGAGCGACACCGTGGCGGCCAATGGAGGCGTTGCCACGTCATGATGGCGAAGGCCCTGCAGCAGTTTGTCGCGAACGACCGCCGCGGTCGGAAACAGCTTGAGACCCACGCGGGCTTCCACCACCCCCGACACCACCGCGCCGTCGCCTGCAAAGACAAAAACGTGGCCGTGTGACCAACCTACAAAAGGGCAAAGTGCACCTTTGGGAATCTGCTTGAGGGCAAACAGGTCGCGTTCTGGGCTGGTGGCGGTCTCAGTGGTCGCGACTTGCCACACAGTGCCGCATCCCCCTGGTGACAAGAGTCGCTTAGGTCGGTACCCAGTATAAACGTACAAACAATACGGTAGATAGACGTACGTACCCACACCGAGCTTTTTCAACTTGGTGTACCCACCGAGTTGGCGGTCGTCGGCCGCGGCAGTCGCTTGTGCTTTTGCCTACCGTGTGCATGTCAATACTTCGAATACACATGTGTTGGACGTAGAACTATACCAACAGGATTGAAGCTGCCGTGGATGACTTGGTGGTTGGAGGGGTCTTTGGTCGGTTGGTTGATAACGACGACACGGGCACAGGCCGCAACTTGACCCTACCTCCACTGCCCCCTCGAACGACAGGTCGACTCTTGCCGCCACCGTTGACAGTGTCCATGGTTGAATGACCAATTTCTGTGTGCTAAAAATACACCTTGGAATAATCCAGTCTACAAGGAACGACAACCTAATGCTTTGTGCAACACATGGTATATTGCAATTGCACATGCTATAACAGTGACTTCCAAGACAAAGCCAGAAAAACGATCAAGAAATCTGGATACCGTTCAAACTAATAAACTCTAGTTAGATGAGGCATATGTTTTGTACCTCAACTCCTACTAACCCTTGGGATTTTGCATTACACTTTGAAGTATGTGAACGAGGGGGTAGGACGAGGTCCCGGGGTTACAGGGTTACGGGAAGAATAATTGCTAGAACGGTTTTCAGTCTTGGCTGAACGATATCCAGATTTATTGAACGTTTTCCCATAGTTTCCGAGGATCGTACGTGTATTGTACTGTACGCCTAGGATAACGTCATGGGGGTATTTCTGTTAGCTATTAGTATTACTAGTAGTACTGCATTTATGATTCCATTTCAACCTTGACAAGTCATCAGCCATCACAAGTTACGTCCATTGAATACTACTACTACACATCACTAGTATCCCTATCAAGCATCGGCGATTTCGTGGTCGGGACTGTCGTCGGCCGGGCCGCCGTCAAAGATGCGTTTGTACAAGCTGTAGAGCAAGTACACTTTGCCTTTGGACGTGGATGACGTGGCACCCCCAGGGCCACCCATGGCACCGCCTACCATCATGCGCGCGTTGCACGGCTCGCCAATCAGCTTCCGCTCGTCGATGCGCTCGTGGTGGGCCGTCCCGTGACCACACACACACGCGGCTCGGCCTGGTTTGTCTCCCTGAGTTTGCAGTGTCATGTGGTGATTCGTCACGGCGGAATTGGCATGCGCCATCGCCGCGCGGCCTTGATGGAGCGGCGGAGGACCTGCGGGCGTCGGATTCGCGGCGTCCGTCGAGCTAGCGGCCTACTTGGGTCATCAATATCTGACGATGATATGTCAGACTGACATACCCGCGACAATTTGTACACACTGCACCGGCCGTCTCGACACTGCGCGCATTTCCCACGCAACACGTTGTCGCCGTCGCGTTGAAAGATCACGTCATCCAACACCACTACAATAAATGGACAACTCATCATGACCATTTTTTTCGTTCCACCTGTTAGCATACAATTCCAAAGTCAATACAATCATTCATCATCAGCCTTCAACTACAACGTCCACAAAACAAACAACATTCTGCCAAAAGAACTTCCCTGCACCTTCCACAATTTATATTTTCGAAACATCGATTTTCAAAATACATACAGTCGTCAAAGATGCACCTACATTGTGGCACGCCTTTGAACGACGTGTACGCCAGGATATCGTCGACATTCCGTCGCGCGTACGATGCACAGAGCGCGAGGAGCGACGGCGGAGACAGAGGACCGACGTGGATCGAGTACAAGTCATGAAGCCGGTCGGTGCCGTCGTACCCGCCGAGGAGGTACATGCGGTTGAGGACCACGACCGCGCGATGGAACGTGCGGCTGGACGGGACGAACCCTGTCGTGTGCACCTCGGTCCACGTGTTGGTGGTCATGTCGAGGCGCTGGAGGTCGTTGAACCGGCTATGGGCTTTGTCGACGCCGCCAAACACAAACATGCTCGTGTCGAAGATCACAGCCGTGTGGCGATACCGATGCGGCGGCGCGCGGCCACTCGTGACCATCGGACTCCATGTGTTGGTGGCAAACTCGTACTGATGCAGGTCGTCCAGTGTGTCCCGGCCGTCCCACCCGCCAAACACAATCAACCGATGCGATGACTCATGCACGGCGCCGGTGTGGCCGAACCGCCCGCTCGGGAGACTGCCGACGGCGTCGACCTTGCGCCACGACTTGGCTGGGATCTCGTACCGGTACATGTTGTTGAACCGAGACGAGCCGTTGTACCCGCCAAAGATGTAGATGTTCGCGTCATGCAACACCATGATGTGATCCGTTCGAGATTCCGGCCGCACGACGGACGAGGAGCTCGGTATTTCGCTCCACCGCCGCGTGTCTAGAAGGGAACCACGGAGAGTGAGGGGGCATGTTTGAGACGCCAAACCATCATGTAAAGGAAATACTTCTGCCGTACCAAAGTTGAAGTAGAAGAGGTCGTTAAAGTAGTTGCCGTCGCGCCCGTCGTATCCACCAAAGATGTACATGTGGTTCTCGTGGACGACACCTAATGCGCCGGATCGCCGAGGCGGCAGCGTGCCGTGGACGTCCACTTGAGACCATGCACAGGATTCTACAGACAGCATGCATGACATTCTATGCAAGGAATCCAAGCACTGAAAGTGGTGGTGATGTACCAATGTCAAACTGGAACAAATCTTGCTGGCGACGCCGTCGGTCGGTTCCGCCAAACACATACAACGTGGCATTGTGCGACACAACCGTGTGACCTGTCCGCGGGCTGTATCCATCGCCGAGTGTCTCAATGCGTTCCCACCGGCGCTCATCTGTGATCATGATTAGATCCAGCGCATGCAGAACGATCGATTTGTGATGTGACCCTACCAATGTACTCGGGCTCGGGCTCGAACTCCATGGACTGGGGCAACATGGTCGGCAGAGAAGATGATCGTTGCTGGCTGTACATGATGGTATGCTGGCACGTCGTCAACTGGGCGTAGGCAAATCTTTGAGCTGATGCCCCTTGGATGCTTGGAAGCAGTTTCGAGCATTAACATGACAGGGAATTCCAAAAGAAAAGTAGAAGGATATCCCGAGATATCCGGATAACAAAAGCCGTCAAGAATCCAATCACTTGGCTCGAGTATGTTCAGATTGGAGATATCTTTCAGTTCGAACAAAAGAACGATAGAAGATTTACCTACAATTCTCAAGTGATAAAATAAAATCATACCCAAAATCCGGATACAAAAGGCGGATCTTCAACATGACCAAATGACCATCTCTGATTGGCTGGTTACTTTGGATGTCCTTTCGACAAGAACGAGCAAAACCAGACGCCCCCTACGATCTTGGCGGTAGCGGTGGGACCGATGGACGGAATTCGTTCATGCGCGCCTTCAACGTCTGCACCATGGCATGATTGGCCCCGTGGGTGATGGTCAATATGCGCAATGCCTCGTTGAGATGTTGCACCGCACCGCCGTCATCATGGCACTGCGATTCGAGGTCGCCAAGCGTGTACAAGTGCAGACCCGTGAGCGGGTGGTTGGGGTGATACAGGCGTTTGTAAAACGCGTAAATCGCGCGAGCTGTTTGCACGGCGTCGTGTCCATTGCCCATTTCAATGTGTAGCGTCAGCATCTGCGAGTGCACTTCCAAAATCAACACGTTCCACGGGTTCGACAGGCCTTTCTCCCTCGCGTCCAAGCCACGTCGGTAGAGCTCGATCGCTGACTCCGGAGACGTTGCGACCGCGGCAGCCTCGCACCATGCCGCGGCTTGCTGCAGCAATACCTTGTGGTCCGAGTTGCTTGATTCGGCGTCTTGGTCTATTTCATCATGCTGTTGGCTTGTGCATCGAGCACATGCGCAGTCGAAATGATAATGGCGCCGCAGTGCATCCCGCCGTTTCGCCAATGGTAACCCTACGTCCACTGAAACGAGAACGTCACAACGCCCGATGCCAAGCCAAGGAACTGTAGGAACATACCATATGGCTGGGTGATCTCAGCGCCTTGAAGAATGGGCTGAATCGCTCGGAGTTGCAAGGTTTGCGAAGATGGAGCATATCTACCTCGATCATAAACCAACATGATATATACTAGTATATGACAGACGTACGTGATAACGCAATTGTTGGCGCAACTGTGGTTCACCATGGCACCCCAAGGGAAGCATCCTATATGTAAATATTATTTCATGAAAAAAGTAACACAATTTTGTAGGTGCAAGGAAGTTTCCATGGATTGAAGTTTTGGAGCATACTAGTAGTTATTAATAGTACCTGCACCAACATCCAACAAGAGTTCGTCGGTGATGGTGAAATTGTTGCTGCGGAATCGACACAGCATTTCTTCCACTTCTTTTGACGTGGTTGTATCTACCACAGCAACGATATCATACGCAATAATCACACCCAAACTCAGACGTAAACAATATACCTGGAAAGAGCTTGGCGTGATGGGTTGTGAGCCAGGACGCTAGGGACTGCATCTCCGACCGATCTTCGTCAAACCAGACCAAGTCCGATGGCAACAACGATTCAGATCGTAGTGGGGCGTCGCTGCTGTGGTGTTGGGCAGCTTCCTTTCGCAGGACGCGGGCCACCAAGAGAGCATCCGACAACGCAGCTGGGTGCGTTGCCTGCTGGGTCATCGCCAGCAGCCTCGAACACTCAAGCTTGTGGTTGGTTTGCCAATCCTGCAATTGACACGCCTTGGAGCCTATATCGCAAGGTGTATCGATGAACCATGAGAATAGCATTGTGCTGCACAGTACAATAGTACACTAGCCGACATCGTCCGCAGCGAGACAGCTTGGATGTTGACTGAAAGCACACCTGGCATCGCTCTGTCCATAAGGACGGAGACAGTACATATGAATATGGCTTCGACTCCAAGACAAGTGCGCCCACAGGGATGTCTCGCGCGGCGGCAACCCACCGGCCTCGCTCTGGGTCGTTCAGGCACAGCGTCACGATGTCCATCATGGCGATGAAAATATGCACACTCGAATTTCGAAGTAGCTCTGTGTATCACCCAAATGTAATATTCAACCGTTGGAACTAATTTGAGCAGGTTACATATTCCTTTTGGTTTGATGTATTTTTGAGCTGGGATAAGTCTAAGCTTACAGTACTTCGAAGTATACGTCGAAATAGAAATATCCAACCGGTCATACATTCGGACCGAATACACGGAACGTGACAATTACACCACACTTTTAGTTTCCCCGCGCAATGCACTTTCCACCGCGGCACCGCCGCCATCAGTCGAAGATGGAGCTTTCCGCCGCAACACAGGAGCATCCATCATCATGAAGGGGCATAAGAGGACATTCACACACAGGTGGATGATTCGTATTGATGATACTTGGTCTCATGCGATGCCGCGAGAGATGGGATAGTACTGCGACGAAATGGACCGTCGATGGCTCAAGAAAGGACGGTCCACGCGGGTTTCAAAATCGGCAAAGATGCGTTCGTCTCCACCGTCTTCGTCGTCTTCGTCGTCATCGTCGTCGTCGTCGTCACTGTCTTTGGGTTGGGACACGCTCCGTGAGCTCGCCGTGGACGAGTTGGACAAGGCCCGGAATCGATCCAAGTCTTGTTTCGTGGGGAGTTCCGCGACAACGCTCCATTGGACGGTCGGCAACTGGAGAAAGGCGCGCACGCGGGGTTCAGCGGCCATGTCGATCTTTTGGTCCAACATGCCGGTAAAGTGCAGCGACAAGAGCGAGTCGATGAAACGCTGGAGGTCCACAGATCGCGTCTCCAAGAACGCGGGGTCCACACATCGGAACATCGTCTTCGGGGGCATCGACACGTTCAGCTTGGTCTTGTGGCGAATGTGCACGGCGAGGTCATCAAACTCTTGATACCGATGGCCCACTGTTCGAGTGCGCGGCGCCAAGGAGGGCGTCACGCTGTCGACAAACAACACAGTCAACACGTACTCGACAACGCCGTCGTCCAGGACGTGAATGCCCGACAACACGACGGTAAACGCCCCGGGCGTGTCTTTGGCTTTCTTTTTCCATGCGTTTGGGGGCACAAAGGTCGTGCAATACGGCGTGGGGGCCGCCGCTTGCGGCAGCGAACGGCGGCGCATGCGCGGGAGGTTGGAGCTGCTCACGCTAGGACGCATCGATGAAGACGACGAAGACGCGAGTTTGGACGAGACAAACCACTCGGACGGAATCGACTTCCGCGTGGGCGTCGGTACCTTTTCCGAATGCGATTGCGATTCCAATCGACCGTCGCACGAGTTGGACCCGGTTGGAACCGCGCCCATGTGCGCGTTCCAGCAATGCAACTTGAGGAACAGACGCACGCGAAGGTCTTGGGGGATCGGCTCCTTGACGGGGATCAACCCATGGACACCCACGTGCGTCATGGACAACAAGAACGACAGCACGTCCACGACAGCCGCAGCGCGGTCGTCCAGCGACCGGCCGGCTTTGTTCATTTTGCGCGCGAACGACGACGCGATCTTGTGCCCTGGAAACCGGAGGGCCATGGCATGGACAAACGCGGCGATGTCAGTGTCGGATTTTGTGATGATCGACACCGATTGCGCCTTGTCTTTGCGCGGACGGGGGAACTGGGCATACCGATGGTCGGAATACGTAGAGGACAAGGAATTTGTGGAATAGTTGACACCGTCCGTGCGAGATCGCGATAGCGAATGATGCGGGGACACGGTTCCCGACAATGACGACGTCGAAGGCGGAATAGACAACCCCACCAACGCGAGATGATAGACGACTGTCCCACTGGACCGTTTGACATGGGCGGCTTTGATGGTGAAGTCGCCAGGCGATGCAAACGCCGCCGACCAACGCTCGTACGAGCAGAACGTCTGAAAATTGGGCACGTCGCCGTCTGGCAGGCCCATAGTGGTTTCTTCGCCTTCGAGCCACAGTGGTGCCACCCGGCGGTTCTTGAACGGATCAACGAGGGACTTGGACGAAGATGGTGGCGGCAACGGGAGTGCAGCGACATTATTGATGCCACTGGTCGATGGGATGCTATGGCTACTACTGGCGGACGCTGCTGCTGCTACATGCCGCCTTATCGTCTGGGAGGACGACGACATCGGACTTTCCCCCGAATGATTCGAATTGATATTAAACCGCTCGTATCCCAGCTTGGCAGCCAGCACCGAACGTTGTTGGGAACCATGGATCGTGGTCGCTTCGGATGACAGAAATGATTGGTGTCGTCGGCCGTCTGCATGGCGCGGAGACTCGCTGGTTCCCTTGCATCCGCAATGGAGGAGAAGGTTCATCATGGCAGCGGAAGGACTTATGGTCGGCTGCCGCCCAATGTGCTCGATCGGCGTACTGTACCTTTACCCCGAGAGTGGTCCAGCTCTTGACGTTTTGTTGCATTCGGATGTCACAGATGGTAGTGGGTGAGATATTATAGCTACGATTTCGTATGTCGATAATTTAATTCCAAACCACCATATCAATTGCATATTTGTATTCAGTATGTGATTGCCCAATAATATTCAAACCATGGAATCTTCCGCCGGCCGTTCCAAATTAGCACCGGATTTCGTCGTCGACATCATGGGCTTCATCCTCCTCACTTGAGAAAGTCGCGCACCGTATTCCATGCATTGGACGACTCCTCGTTGCGTGTTGGTGAAGTTGGGTGTCGTCCTGTCGTAATTCGAACGGCGTTTGAAAGTTTGAACGGCCAGAATCAACACCACTTCGAAAATTGTAAAGCAGCGGCCAGAAACGCGCTTGCCCCACTTGGTCGACTTAATTCAATGCGTACGGAATATCGTGTTATACAGGTTTATTTACTATATGTATGTAAGCAAACCCGAGGACGACATCCTTTTTTATATAGGTTATACAAGTATAAGAGTCATTCTACTGACCATAGTTGTGTACTACGTAGTACTTGGAAGTAGGCCACATCTGTCTCTTGGTCGTCTTGCAGCTGAAATTGCCTTATATACAGATGATTTTCCTGGGCCACTGAATACCGCCTCACGAGTTGAGGGTCGAGGGTCCTTATGCAATGCAAAACTCGCCAAAGCAACCTTCAACCACAAGTAGGATGGGCAGGCATAGCGCTGCCACCTCGTGTTTTGCTTAAAATATGTCAGTAAACGAGTTTGTACAATGTTAATTTCTGCCATTGATTCTTGAAGGTACTGAGTCTAGGAAATTTCGACGTACGGTAAATTTTGTGTATCCGAAATTATTATTATGGCCACTACTTGGAGTATGATTGGGGTCCGATCTTTGAGTGGCAATTGAAGTTTAAAAGTTACTTAGCTGTACTCTGGACGACGTTGACGTTTGGTTTCCAAATATAGAACTCCTTCGAGGTTTTACCAAGTCCAGATCACAACTCGTGCAGCAATGCCCATTCGTTGTCCTCCTAGCATGTTTGTGCAGTGGTTTGTGGCCTACTGAATCGAGTGTCGTTGCTCCTCTGGATTGCATTTGTACACGTGTATCTTGATCTGTATATACGTTTTTCGTTGACCACGATCAACGACACTCATGTTTTTTGCACATTCCAACGCCCCACGTCATACCGAAATTGCAGCATGCTCGCTTGCTTCTAGGGGCGAACACTACTTCATGTGCCTTTGTAAATCATGCTGTGTGATTGTGATTTCACAGTGCTCAGTCCACATGTGACACCTTTAGGATGCCATCTGCAGGCAACGAGTGTTACAGTACGGATTCGAAAATGGTACTACGCTCGAGTAATCGACACCCCAGACCAAACATATTGTCCAGGCGGCCTGCAATCAAAGACACCAAGTCATCCTCCACGGCAAGATGGCGCCAAACCGTTTGTCATATTCATCTCGTCAGCCAATACCCGTATTTGCTTTGTCCGACGTGATATACTCGCGTGTCATTGGACATGGAACAAATCACCAAATGAACAATCTATGGTGATACATTGTTCTCATATGGTGGTATATTGGGGTGGCGAGGGAAACTAATTCCGGTTGTTGTATCCGGGATGTGCGTCTTTTTCCGGATAATCGTGTGAAAAGCACCAACCATTCGTCTTAGCCAATCAGCGCGTGGAAAACGTATCCGGTCACCCGATTCGGCGCCTTCATATTCCCTGTCGATATATTCCATTGAGTGAAGCGAAGATGGACATTCAGACGCTGCACAACATCCTCCTGCATACGTTTGCAGTGGAGACGGACGCCCGCAAGGCGGCGGAAGCGGCGCTTCTCAACCTACACACCGTGCGCGGCTCCATCGTGCTGCTCATGCAGTTGATCTCGAACCTCGAAGTGCAAAAGGAAATCCGACAGGCGGCGGGCATCCAGCTCAAGAACATCGTGTCCAAGCATTGGGAAGGTCAAGCCCAGGCCGACGACTCGTACTTGAGTCCATTCACGTTTGAGGACAAGTTAGAGTACCGCAAGTACATCATGGAAGGGTTGTTGACCACCGGCGTGGACGACCGGTCCATCCGTTCGTTACTCGCCGAAGCGGTCAACCAAATTGCGCGCATCGACTTTCCAATGAAATGGCCCGGCCTTGTGGAAGAGATCACGACCAACATCCAGTCGGGGGACCCCACGCGCATCTGCAATGCGTTGCTTGTGCTCCGTCGTCTGTGCAAGAACTACGAGTACCGCAACGACGAGGTATTCCGACAATGTCCTTTCTCGTCCGACCCTCTCTCTCTCTCACAACCCACACGCACTGTCCGTTCCGTAGAACCGTGCGGACCTCAACACGATCGTGGGCGTGACGTTTCCCCTGCTTCTCACCATGTTGGAGTCGCTCGTACACAACCACTCGGTGGAAGGCGCCCGCATGATCCACTTGATCTGCAAAATCTTTTGGTCGTGCGTACAAGTGTCGTTGCCGCCATACGTGACCAATCTCCAGCGCATGAGTGCATGGATGGACCTGTTTCGTCAGATCCTTGCCAAGCGCCTTCCCGAAGCGTCCGAGGGCCTTGAGCCGCTCCATCAGCCCACCGACCCCGACGCGCGGGAAAAGTGGCCGTGGTGGAAGGTCAAAAAGTGGATTCTTCAAGTCGTCACGCGGTTCTACATGCGCTGGGGCAACCCCAAGAGCGCCGACCCGGAGAACGTCGACATGGCCAAGCACTACCGGTCCCACGTGAACCCGCCGATGCTCGCCACGATCATGGAAACACTGGCGCTGCGCAAGCAAGGGCTGTTCTGCACCGATCGCGTCATGCAGCTCTCCCTGACCTATGTAAACGAAGCCGTGAAATCATCGCAAGCGTACAAGCAGCTCAAGCCTCATCTGCACTTTTTGCTCTTCGAGGTGGTCCATCCTACTCTGTGCCTCACGCCAGTAGACATGCAGTTGTGGGCCGACGACCCGCACGAGTTTGTGCGCAAGACGCACGACTTCATGGAGGGGTATCTGAGCCCTGTGAATGCCGCGCAGGAGGTGCTCAATAGCCTCTGCACCCTCCGCGGCAAGGACTGTCTCTCGAACGTGCTCATGTTTTACAACCAAATCCTGTCCACGTACGTGGCGTCCCCCGTCGAGTCGCGCGATTTGATCCAAAAGGAAGCGGCGCTACATGGATTGTCGGCGCTCCAGGGGCTGCTGGTCAAGTCCAAAGCGCACAAGCCGCAGATCGAAGCGTTGCTGCAGGCGCATGTCCTTCCCGAGTTTCACAACCCCCACGGGTTTCTCCGTCTGCGCGCGTGCAAGATGTTTACCGGCGACTTTATGACGGACATTGTGTTTGCCGATGCCACGATCACGGAATTGGCCAACAGCATGATGAAGAGCATGGCCGATGTCGAACTGCCCGTGCGCATCGAAGCCGCCAAGGCGCTGCGGCACCTTGTCATGTACGAGCACTCGACCGCCGTATTGGACGCGATGCGGCCCGTGTTGCCGCAGATCATGGAACAGTACTTTAAGCTCATGGACGAGATTGGAAACGACGAGGTTGTAATCGCGCTCGAGCACATTATTGACCAATTCGCCGACGAAATCGGGCCGTACGCGGTGCAGCTAGTTGGAAAGCTCGTCGACTGCTTCAACCAGTTTGCCAAGGAAGGCGATGAAGACGACGATGCGTGCATGACGGCGGCGTCATGTCTCGACACGGTCAACACGATCCTGTACTCGATCCACAACCAGCCAGAGTACTACCCGCTATTCCTGGACTCGCTCGTCCCCGCCATCACGCTCATCTTGAGCAGTGACGACTACACCGAGTACTTGGAAAGCGCGCTGGACGTTTTGGTCACGCTCACGTTTTACAGCAAGTCGATCGCGCCTTCGTTGTGGTCGCTCTTTCCGCTGCTTTTCACGGCGTACCAAGGATGGGCAGAAGACTACATTACCAACTTTGTCTCGGTGATCGACAACTACATTGGCATGGACGTGACCAACTTTCTCGCGGGGGGGGTCGTGTCGCCCACCGACGGCTCGCGCGTGTCGTACCTGGAAATGGTGTTTCAATTGGCGGCCAATATCTTCAAGCAGAGCGACGACGAACAAGACGACCGCAGCATGGAGCTTGTGGCTGCGTGCAAGTTGCTCTACTCGTTGCTGCACAACTGCCTGCGCCACGACATCAACGTGTGCGTGCCCCTGATTGTCCAGATCACGTGCCTTAAACTGGCGCGATCGCTCAAGCAAAAGGTGGTCACGTCGCTGTTTGGCGTGATCGCGTCGGCGCTCCACTACAACCCAGCGCTAACTCTGAGCACGATGGAATCGTTTCAAGCTACGGACCCGCTCTTCAAGGCGTGGCTGTCGCATCTTCCCAAACTCACCAAGTTCATGGACCAAAAGATGTTTGTGCTCGGCATCACGGCCGTGTTCAAGCTGCCACTGGCCGAGTTGCCGCTGTCGTTGCAGCCGCATACGCACGCGTTGCTCGTGGGGGTAGTCGACAAGTTGCGCGACATTCAAACGGGCGAAAACGACGAGGACGAAGGCAGCGACGGCGGCGACGGCGACGACAACGGGCTCGACGAAGACGAAGTCGAGCAGCTGGTCGAACGCGGGGGCTACGGGTCGGACGAGGACGCCGAGGCGCTGCAGGATGCCGACACGGCCGCGTTTTTGCGAGAAATGACCCGCCGCACCGACGACGACGACGACGACGGGTACTACTTTGGCATGGGCGAAGAGGAAGAGTTCACGAGCGAGCTCGACAACATTGACGAGTTTGCCGTGTTCTTGGAAACTGTCCAGCACATGCTCACAACCAACCCCCAAGCATGCCACGCGTTGCAAATGGACACGGACGAGTTCAAGGTGTCGTGCGAGGTGCGTGTGGTTGGAATAATGATCTACATGACAACTGACGACTGATGAGTGTAGCATTTTGCGGCTGAAGTACAGCGCCGACAGCAGGAAGCGTTGGACGAAGCGCAGGATGCCGCGGCGGCGGCGGCGTCGGGTCCATAAGTTGGACGTCCACATATCTCGCAAAGACGCTGGATGTAGAATATAGATGACGCGTAATGTCGTTCAACACGTCGTACGTAGGCTGTAGTAAACAAGGTAGATTTAAAGGGTGTGTGTATATACCATATGGATATATATATATATATATGATCATGTCCTGTCGCGCTGTCACACATCGCCGTCGTCGCATTCCGAATTATTAATAGTACGAAGTATTAATACTATTAGCTAGTACTATTACTAGTAGTAGTACTCTTTCTATTTTGACGTGGGTTGACAAGTGAAACGGTTCCGTAACGGCTGCAACACGTGTAGTCGTTGAAACGACGAGTTGGCATGCGCTTGACATATGACGCCGCCGCCGCACCACGACGTCCGAGGTGTCCTTAATGCCAATGGTACTCCAATGTTGTGGGGCTTGCATTCGTTGTGGAAAGCCAGTAGCCCCAAGTGCATCGTCGGCATCGTCGACACCGTACAGCAACCCCTCGCTACCCGTCTCCATATGTATGTGATGCTATTACGTATGCCTCTAGGTCGTCGTTGTCGACGGCAAGCTCGACACGTGGCTGTTCACAGCCAAGACCGGCGAAGTCCTGCGGAAGAAAGCGTTCCAACCATCGGACATTGCCGACAGATTCAGTCGTATCTCCCTCGCCAACGCCGCCAACGTTCACTCCCACGCCGCCATCTTGCGACGGTCGAACGGCAGTTGCATCGTGTGGGATGTGGCCACGCTGGCCCAAGGCGTGGAAACCCCTCTGGACAAACATGTCGTCGCCCTTCAGGTACCAATCCCCCGCCCATCTCGTTTGTTCTTATGCGACGAGGGGTGTAGCCATTTGTGTGCAGTCGAGGCAGTCTAGGGTCAGTGTACCGCCACGAAGTCAAGACGGTGCTGTCGACTGATCAACATGCACGCCTCGTGCAGTCCACGTGCAAGCTCATGCAGCATCAAATGAGTGGACCGGGGTCGTCCATTGTCGTCGACGCCCCTCTACCCGACCAAACGCTCAAGTCCAATGCCACTGCCATCAACACCCGTCTCCACGCGATCACGATGCTTGTGCGGCAACATTTGGAGGTTCAAACGAAAAGATCGAGCTGGTTTGATCTATTCTGTGCTCAAAGAAGCCGCGTTGGTGGTGGACACTTGTAGGAGCTACACAGCATTCAAGTGCAAGAGATTGCCGTGGATTTTATCATCGATGCCAGCGAACAGGTATTGTACACTGGCGTACACGTTCGTGATGACGTGGCATAACGTCGTGTTTGCATTAGATATGGCTGTCATGGATTCCAACAGTCATAGCTAAAACCAACCACAATTCGGGTGCTGTCCCCTTACGCACCCCTTCCCCCACTCACCCACCCTCGTTGAGCCACCACAAAAATGGATGGTTGGCCACGGCCGCCACTGGCCTACCCTCCATGGAACAGCTCGTGTTCGACGCCGCCGAAGCCACATTGTTGGAACCCCCCACGCTGGACAAGGACACTTCGTCATCGACGTCACATGTCCGCGTCGACGACGTCCACGCCGCCGCCCAACGCCGCGCGTCTGCTACCCACTTCACACTCAAGCCCACCCCCGCAGCCCCTTCCTCGTCCAAACCATTGCACCATCCGACGACTGGCAGCGGTTTCCCCACTCCATTCAAGTGTTGCGGGGATTTTTGCGGGTTCGATCTGTCGCCTCCGTCGTCGTTGGTGGCATCGACGGACGACGCGTTGACAAGGCGACGTCGTCGTGGCATCCACGCCTTGTTGTCGCCCGAAGACTCTGCCGCGCTGGGGGCCGCGAATTTGTTGCAAACACTTACAAACCACTCAGTTGACACGCTGCAAAACTACAACGATCAGCGACTGCATTACACGATCACGTATCGGTCCATCGCGCTCGCCAAAGCCAACAAAGCGCACCTCGTCGATACGCAACATTCCGATTCCAACGAAGCAGACGTCGTTTCCAACGTTCCGAACGCAAAAAAACCAGCGTACATGGCGTCCACCGTGTCGAAAGACTGGCAGCGCAGTCTCGGGAAAACATACGGCGAGCTCGACGGTGGCGCGGCCAACTATTACCGCCACGTCAAAGTGTGCCGCAGTTGCTACGCCGTCTACTCGACGCTCGACACGGCGCGCCGCATGTTGGACGAAGTTGCTGCGAAAGTTTCCCAGCAACTCGTCAAAGAGAATGCGCGGCAACCCCCTGGCATGGACAAGTGGAACCAGGGGGTCGACGCCTCCGTGGCGGCCAAGGAGCGCGGGCTCATGGGAAGGCGGTCGTCGTCGACGACGACGTTGGAGGTGAAACTGCCTCGGCTGGGCACGCCCCCCGAAGGACCCCCCTCGATGCGAATGTTGTCTGCGGCAACTTCGCCTACAACGCAAGACGACGTTGGAGAAGTCGAAGGAAGGGGAATGCCAGACGACGCTACTCACCCCCCAAATGGTACTGAAGATATGGATTGGAACGCGATTTGAAACCAATGGGGGCTTGGTGGATGGCTTCTACGTATTCAATATCTAATCCAACGGTACATGTGTAGAAGCTCTAGCTGACGGGGTGGCAAAAGGAGTGGTGATGCCACTCATCCACCAACCGTCGTCCCCGACGCTAAGCCAACCGCAGCACAGCTACGCAACATCCAAGGCCAAAAGTACAGCAATGTTAACAGTTTCCAATACCCGTGCCAAAGGATGGAAAAAACAACTGGACCACAAAGCTACACACGCTGCTTCGGACGAAGTGGCCAAAACTGTCGAGGTGCAACATACAAAAACCCTAGCTCCCACGATCACAAAGTGAAGCCAAGGGGACTAAAGCAACGCCTTGACCGTAGGAATTCGTCGGCTTGGACGGGTACCTACGGGGTAAAGTCCGTCGACGCAAAACCAAACAACTAACCGAAAACGCGCTCTTTCCTGGTGGCATGCCCCTTCCTGTAACCAAATCGCACCAAGGGCACGGCGATGCCTATCTGCCCCTCGTCCTGGTTGTCGAGACCGACCAATCCATGATCAACTCGATCGTCCGTGTATTGCAAGATGAGTACTCGGTGGAGAGTGTATGCGACGGCGCCGTGGTATGTAGAATATCTTCGCTTTCCATAGTTTCCAGAATTATGATTTTCCACGCAACGGTGCGGACTGTACGAGCCGATTCGATTGGTTGAAACGCCCATATGATATACCTGACGCTGTGTGTTGTTGGCTTGAACGTAGGCACTCAAGTGTGCGCAAGAGACCCACTACGATGCGATTGTATGCGGGCGCGACGTGCCGACGTTGGGGGCGATCGAAATGACCAAACTGCTGCGGCAACATGAGATCCAGCAAAGCATCGCGCTCCACTTGCCCGTGCGTCGCACACCCGTGCTTTGTTTTACCAATTGTACGTCCCCCGAGGACTTGCGGGTGTATATGGAAGTCGGAATGGACGGATGTGTGGGCCATCCTTTGGATCTGGATGCACTTCGGCGGATGCTGGAAGCGGCGGTAACGACGACAGGGGGGGGGGGCGTAGTAGCCTCATTGCAAGCGATTGTGGCCAAAGCCAATCAGCCCATCGCGACATCTTCCTCGTTGCCCAAGCCAGCCTCTCGACCGCGCAAGAAGAAACCGGCGGCCGCCACCGCCACGGGCACGTCGTCGAATCTCGCCAACGCCCTCCTCGGCCACACGCCGGACGACCCGAGCTGTACGATGGGCATGTTCCAAGTCGACACCGACACAAGTCTTCCGTTTGCAGTGCTGAACCCCCCAACGCCCCCTACGACCATCAACACATTTTTCAACCTCGTGGTTGTGCATGATATCTTTGACACGATGGAGCGGATGCAGATATTCCTGCAGCCCATGCTCGCGCGATGCAGCGGCGCCCAAGCGCTTGTGTGGAACTACCCCGGCCAAGCCGGCACGACGTGGCGAAAGGGGCTACTGCTCAACAACGCGTACCTGTCGACGTGTTTGTCGGGGCTTTTATCACACGGTACGCCCCCCTTCTAACCGCTGTCGCATATTTCTATCTTGACGTCATCAATCGATTTTGTTCTTGTCTGTTCCAATAAAAGTGTCGTTGATGCGTTGGCCGAGCATGGGTCTCTTGGGGGATGTTAGGGTACCGTGATGTTATGTCGGACTTTTCAACATCTCAAGTGTGCGGACAGAATAGTAGTAGTAGTAGTAGCTACATAGCATGGCGAGGTCTACACATTTTTGTGTTTGGCCGATGGAAAATGGGGCTTCCAATGGAGTGTCTATTGTATTATGTCTTGGTCTCACTGGATACGGTGTGGGTGTTCTAGTCACATCCAAAGGGCTGTGGCGACACGAAGTGCCGTTCTACTTGGTCGGGTACGGCAACGGCGGCCCCGTCTGTCTGCACTACGCCCTACACGCCCCCAGTTCGTCGCTTCGAGCTCTTGTGTCCGTCAATGGCTTTGCCTACGTCGACTCGACGCTCGCCACCTTTCTCCACGACGCAATTAAAGTGTTTAGCTGCTCCCCACCGTCCAGACCCGACCTGCCCGTGTACTATCACACACGGTTTTTGTTTTCCGGCGCGTACCTGGCGACCGTGTCGACCCCCCTCGCGCTCAATTTGTACACGGCCGTGAGCAACCCCATCACGTTGGACGGCCGCGTCGCGCTATGCTTGGGGGCGCTGAGTCATGTGGATGTCCGGCACGACTTGAGCTCGATGAACGTGCCGCTGGTGGTGATTGCGTCGGCGCAGGATGGACTCGTCCAGCCGCTGCATGTGGACGCGATCGTAGCAGCCCGGGGCGGCGGCAGCGTGAATAGCATCCACAAGGTGCTCAAACACCACCGCAAGTCCAAAACGTGCGTCGTGTGGGTGCAAGCCGGCCACGAAGTGTTTCAAGAGGTCAAGCCCACGATCGCGGCGTTGCTCGAGCAATTTCTCACAGGGTTTCACGAAACGCACGACAGTTCGCTCACGACTGGGACAGGGGGGGCGGCTCCCCGGCACGAAAAAGAAGGGTCGCTCGTCGCCGCGGCCGCGGCACGCACGAGCTACGAAGACCACTTTATCAACAAAGTCATGATGACGCTCACGGACGTCAAAAATCGGCCAGACCGACAGCAACCACCACTTAACCCCCATGTACATCCTCGCGCCCCCGACGACGGCGAAACCAACAGCAACGCGTGGGCTATGTACCAGCAGAAACGCATGGAATCGACTGCTGCCACCCACTCAGCCCACAACAAGAAGAAATCCGGACAGCACCCCCCGCCCCCTGTCTTGGATCCCCTAAACCCATCGTTTGAACGAGACACCAACGACGTGTACCGCGCCGGCGACGGCAGCAAGATCTACCCCGACCCGACTACACGGGGAGACATCAAGGAGTACATGCAATGGCGGGTCCAGCGCAACGCCACGCGGCTGCAGCGGATGCACAAACTCGCGTCGAAAATCCAAAAAGCGTACCGGGCGTACCGGGCGCGGACGCTGGCCGACCGGCTGCGGAGACACAAGGCGGCGCTGACCATGCAGCGCGTCTACCGCGGGTTCAAGGGTCGGCTGGTCTTTGACAAGAGACGAAGGGAGGATGCCGCCATCCGACTCGTGCAGCGCTCGTGGCGTGGCAAGATGGGCCGCATGCAGTTCAAGTCGACCAAAAGCCAACGCCTCGCCGCCATCGAAATGCAGCGCATGGTGCGCGGCCACGTTGGGCGGCTCCGCGTTCGACGGATTCGAACGACAAGGTACACTTCGGCATGCATCATTCAAGCGCTGTTCCGACGGGTACATGCGGTCCAAGAAGCATGGCGGCGACGCCGGCAGACCCAAGGCGCAGTGCTCATTCAGGTACCAACAATACCAACCACAAATGTTTGAAGTGGGGGATGGGATATAATGGAGGGATGTTGGAAGGAGGATTACCATCCATTGCATACGGTGTTGTGAAGTGAATGGCAGTGGGGGAGTGAGTTTGGGAGATAGATGACGGATTGACCACTCTTGTCTTTTGAAATTCAATTAAAGGACGATGGAAAGATCGTCATCCTTCGTTAGCAAGTGCCATTTGCCCTGTGCTGTGTTCGTTGTGTTAACGTTATGGAAACGAATTGTGGCGGTGGTGGTTTTGATGGAATTTGTGTAGCGCGTATACCGCGGGCACGTTGGCCGCGCCCGATTCCGTGCCGAGCGCGACCGGTACTTGTTTTCGAAAGCGCAGACACAGAATATTGATTTTGGCAAGCAAATGCTGCTCGAGTACAAACTATACGGGACGCGGCTGCAAAGTGAAGTGGCGCTCCTCGTGAACGAAAAGACCAAGGCAGAAGCCAGCGTGGAGAGTTTGCTCGTGGAAATCGCAGAGTTTGAGGCTGGTGTGCGGGTGCTCGAGACGGAAATGCACGCGCTCAGCCAGATCGAGACCGAAGCCACGGGGGTGCTGGACGAACAGGCCAAGTGGCAGCTGCGGGACCAGAAGATGCGACTCGATCAGGAGTTTGCCATGATGCTCAAGAAGATTGCCGACAGGCGGGAGAAGCTACTAGTGCTGGGCACGACGCTACAGGCACTGGATAAGTCAAGACATGCCAAGGAAGAGGACTTGCGTGGTCTCGAGCGGAAACTCGTGCTGTTGTTGGACGAACAACAGCGGCAGTTGCAAGGTACTTACATTCATGATTCAGGACAGGGGAAACGGGGAGATCTGTGACGATGTGTGTATATGTGTGGGCCGTAGGCATCAAAGCCAAGCAAGAGAAACGGTCCCAGGTGTTGGTGGACGTGGCGGGGGGGGTGATCCCGCCCGGGCCACTGGGCGGTGTCGACCACGGACAGCCGGGGGGGTCTGTCTCGTGTGGGACGACTGTGAGCCCGGAGCAGCGGCAGGAAGCGAATTCGTTGATGGAGTCGACCGAGACCATGATGAAGTTTGGGTTTATGAGCATGAGCATGACATACTTTAGCAGCATGAACATGATCAAGGCTATGCGGCAGATTGGTGCCCATCATACGTTCCTCGACAGCGCCAATGCCATTCACAACCATGCCACGGGGGCCGCCGGTATGATGATGGGCGGGGGTAGTGCCAGTCCGACGGGCAAACACATGGGGGGCGGCGTCGGGGGGAGCTCTGCTTTTCATGCGGAGCCAGCGCCAGGCAACTTTCCCGGCCAGGAACCGCTGCTCGCGAGTGCATGGAGCGTGCGGGACGTCGGGCGATGGCTGGACACGCTCAGTTTAGGCCAGTACAAGCAAGCGTTTTCCGATGGCACCGTGGACGGATCGCTCTTGTACGACCTCAACGACCACGTACGTCGTCCAATTAATGGCTCGGGGCCATTTGGCACCACCCGTCGTATACTCACAAAGTTGATGATTGAATTCGGTGGTGGTAGGACCTTCGGTTTTCCCTTGGGATTGAATACGACCTCCATCGGAAAAAGATCTTGCAAGCCGTCGAGCGGCTCAAACGTGCCGAAGGGGCCGTGAACAAGTTGTACTCGAGCCCCCTTCCTACAAATGGCGCTGCCATTATCCCAGCTGAATCCAGCGCCGCGTCCGTCCAACAAAACCAGTCCAATCCATCATCATCTGGCAGCATGGCTTTAAGTACTACTTCGCCATTGCCCTCGTCGTCAACGACCAACGCCTTGTCCACATCCGCGAACCAAATTGCGGCTACCGAACCACCCCCGCTAGTCATCCGCTTTGACGAAGTCTGCTCGTTGGTTCGGAATGGCAAGCTCAAGCAAGTCAAAGAAGCGTTTGAAAAGTGGCCCGACAAGGCGTATGATGACCTGAGCACCAAAGTGCAAAATGCACCTGGGACGATCTACGAAGACAGTCTGGAGCATCAAGCGTTCCACATGAACAAGGCGGACGAGCACGGCAACTCGCTGCTGCTGCTCGCCGCCCAGAACAACCTGCTCAAAGTGTGCCAGTTCCTCGTGAGCAAGGGGGCGAACCCGAACCACCAGAATAAGCAAGGCCAGTCGGCGGGCCATTACGCGATGGCGTACAGCTTCTTTGACCTCGGCGCGTGGCTTCTCGACCCAGACAAAGGCGGCGGCCGTGACGACCTGGTCAACATACATGGACTTACGGCGTACGACGGATTGAGTCCGGCGTCATGAGGGTGTCGGGAAGGCGGAAGTCGTTGAAGTGTTCAAAGGACACACACAACTGTAGCTACCATGTGGAATAATCAATAAAGTGTTGCAGGGGCCAGGAGCTCCTCCCAGACACAACTTTCGAAACCTGTTGATTCAAGCGCCATTGGCGGTGTCGTTTGGACTTGGACATACCGGGTATGATGATGGCATGCCGATGGGATTGAAGGTAGTCAGGAAAGCAAGGACGTTTTCAAATGGCCATTCGAAATGCCACCGGTATTTGCACTCGGCGCTGATTGACCGACTGGAGAAACAAGAAACGATGGTGGCATGGTGGGGTTGTATTGATCTATAATTATTTATTAGTTATAATTTTTTAAAAATCAAAGTGTCTAATAAAATAAATATTTTATATCCTACAACTCAGGAATGCCGACGTTTCTCGTGACGCCTTCTGGGGTACAAACACCTATTCACTTACACTTTGTATTAGCATCCGACCAAAGTCTGGCTCACCGTGTCACCGCTACTTCTTGCGGCATCCCCAATAAGTGCTGCAGCGACATGTACGAGTAGTGTTGGTGTCGTGCTAGTTACAAGGTGTGTGGCACATCCCTTGACTGTAAAATAATGGTTGTATTATCTAAAAAGAGACCCTGCGATGGAAACAAACGATCGTTTATTCTACATCTTGGACGTTCATGTCGCCTTGGTTGGCGTCGGCGCTGTCGGGCTCTTGGTCCGACGTCCACAACGTCAAGTTGTCGCGCAACAACTGCATAATCAACGTCGAGTCCTTGTACGATTCTTCCGACAGCGTGTCCAATTCAGCAATGGCATCGTCGAACGCTTGCTTGGCAAGGTTGCACGCACGGTCGGGGGAGTTCAAGATTTCGTAGTAAAACACGGAAAAGTTGAGCGCCAACCCGAGGCGGATGGGGTGGGTAGGGGGCAACTCCGCCATCGCGATCGTGGACGCTTGCTTGTACGATTCCAACGCCTTGTCCGACGATTCCTTGCGTTCGTCCTCGGTTTGGAATTCAGCCAAGTAGCGGTGGTAGTCGCCCTTCATCTTGTAGTAAAACACCTTGCCTTCCTCCGACGACGAGTTGGGGATCAGGTTTTGTTCGATGATGTGCAGAATGTCATTGCAGATTTCGACTAATTCGGTTTCGATCTTCAGTCTGTAGTTCTTGATGTGTTCGGCGCGGTCCGAGTCGCCCTTGTTTTCGATCGAGCTGATCACTCGCCACGACGCGCGGCGCGACCCGATCACGTTCTTGTACGCGACCGAGAGCAAGTTGCGCTCCTCCACGGATAGCTCCACGTTGTGGTTGTTGGCCACGGCCTTCATGTGGTCCACCATTTCATCGTAGCGCTCGGCTTGTTCAGCGAGCTTGGCAAGGAAGACGAGCGAGTCACGGTCCATTTTCACGATATGTCACTTGGGCAAGAAGAAGCAAATTTGCGAGTGGCGGCTCCCCCGTCAAAAATAGAAAAAACCACTCAAAACCCCTCCAGGCCGCAGGTTTCTAGCCAATCACAGGCCGAGATTCGGGTCATTTATTCTCCCCGAATCCTGCCCCATACTGAAACCAAGCCTAATTCTCCGAACGGAAAAAAAGTACTCGCGCTTCCAGAAATAGACAGATTCAGTCTGTTTGGCCTGGCGTATACAAACTGCAAGTGTGCGATTCAGGGAGGGGGTAATATAATAAGTGGTTTTATTCCCCATACGGAATTCAATTTCAACTGTTAGAATTTTATACCGTTGGCGCTTGCCACTCTAACATGATGTCGTTATACCGAGGGAACGCTGGCGTCAGCGCAGCGCCCCTTCAACGGCGGCGTGAGTTATGGTCACAGTCACAATTTGGTGGTCCTGCCCATCAAGATTGCGAGTAGGTTCCGTGACGCTGATTCGGCATATGTAATGGCTCGCAAGAAGCGGAGCGTGGAGTCATGTATGTCCGGACGTGTACACACATGCTCTTTCACGAGATACAATGGGTGAACCTGTGCATTCCATGTCGAGTTCACAGCTAGAGATGAATCTGCATTTACCGCCCCCACTTCGCACTCACTTTATGCATGCTGAGGCCACAACAGTATGGCTAAGCTGCCAGCAACACATTGTGTTGCTTTGACGAGATGGTGGCATTGTGCTGTGTGGCCGTTCGACTCTCGTGGTTCATTGAAATGGTCGCCGCAGTTCGAGTGTAAATAAGGGAATATTATCAGTATCATTTGGGGTTTTGCTTCTGTTGCGCCAACAGTTTTTCTAAAAACGTGCCGTCGTTGGCGATCTCGGGCACTCCGCCGGGCATGACGCCGTCCAGAGCTGGCGTCTTGTCGTCGTTGGCGCCGTTGTCGCTGGCATTGTCACCCAACATCTTGCGCATCTTGGCATTTTCGAGCTTTCGACGGCGCTTGGCGGCCTTTTGTTGTGCCTTGAGAGCTACTTCCTCCTGAGCTCGCTTGCGCTGCTCTTGAAACTTCCTTTCGTCCTCAATACTCTTGTGGCTCTTCTCCATCGCCGACACACGCTCCATTTCCCTTCGTCGTGCGGCGCGGTACATGTGAAACTCGCCACTGCCGGCACCCGCTGTACTGCCCGTGACATTGTCGACCTTGTTGAACTTAAATTTGTCCTTGGGAGGTGCTACCTTGGTGTCTTTCGAGTCTGGTTTGGCCTCTTTCGGCTCTTTCGGCACAGGGGGTAGCGGTGCGATAGGCATAGCCGAAGACAGCGTGATGCCGTCCTTGCCTTCGTCGGAGCTCACCTTCGCATACGAAGGCGCCATTCGGAACCGACCCTCCATAGTTCACGCTAGATGGGAGGTGGAAATGGAGAGTTCAAACCTTTGGAACAATCTCCTTCGCCTCAATGATGATTGGTCATTAAAAATCACATGATATCCAATCAATTGCTAGTCACCACCATCAAGTGGCCAATCGGAGGGCAAGGATGTTTGCAATGAAAAACAATTTCCGGACAAATGTGCACATCTGAGAAGTTGGAGCTCTCATGGTGCTATGCTGCCTTGGCCGTCACCAAGGGAATACAGTAAGGTAATGCATCAATTATTGACACTGTTTTTGGTCAAGTTTTGACCATGACTTCAAATCCCAGTAACTCGAGAACGAGAAGGATTATTTTAATGCTGATAAGTAGCACCACAAGAGAATATAAAATTGGACTACATTTCAGATTTGTATCGAAATGAAATGTTTTGAGCTTTATGGTCACGACTTTTTTTAGTGAACAAATTCATGACACTCCTTAAAAACCTTGATGTTTGTATTCGACTAAATTAATATGCAAAATAATTTGATTCAAAATATAATTGCATGTATTTCGCAATACGTAATAAAAATTTACATGAATTTAATTAGTCAGCGCAGTCACATTTTAGTTCACTACTGTGGATCACAACAGTAGTGGCATAGTGGATGCCATCCACTCGTTGCGAGGAGCAATACGCTGCTGCTTCTTTGTCTATGGTAGCGATGGCTCTAAAGTGAGTACTTCCATGTATCACATAGCTATGCACAACTGCCGTGACGCTCTCGTAGGCATGTATCGCCGGACAGCGTCAAGGGTTTCTAGTTGCTATTCCATTTAACAGTAAATACTTGTATTCTTTTTGTTTGAGATTGAAAAAAACTGAGCAGACTTCAACATTGAGACGTGTAATAAAATATAGAGACGAATATTATCATATCCAATCATACAAGGCCAACACGAAATAGCGATATACTATTGGCTAAAAGTCAGACAGTCTCACAATTTGGTGCCGTGTCAACAATTGATACATTACCTTATTCCCCCACATCAGGTATAACTAACTATTAATACCTTACTAGTACCTCCAAAATACCCAAACTATACCTTTACTGTTAGTAGTGGAATTCCTTAGGTAAGACTATGCACACGTATACAAAAAAACTTGTAACCTGGGACTCTCGTCCTACCCCCGTAGGAACGGATATTTCGAAGTATAATGTTATTCCCGGCGGGTCACATACCGGTAGGTTAGCTATCGCTAATTACTGAATGCCTAAACCCCTACCTCAAGTCAATCCTCGGCATTCAAGTGGACATCAAGAAAACAAAGTCGTCACTATGTCCCAGCAAGCTTACGTGGACGCACTTGGTAGCTGACATGCGTTGCGGTTGCCTACTGTATCATTCACTAGAAACCCCACTGCTATACCGGTACTTATTTAGGCAACAAGTCCTCAGTTCAGGCGTCCTGATTACCTGTTGTAAGGTACGGTACTAGTATCTCAGAATTCCCCATTAGCAGTGAACGTTTTTCAGGGTTTGCCGCCTTTATAGCCCGGACATCCTTGCTGACGATTAATTCCCCCACAGCAGGTAATTTAGTAATATATCCTACCTTCAAAAGACACAAACTATCTACAGTACAGTATCCTAGTAACCAGAGATCTTTTTGCATAATTCTATCGATATACTTTGAAAAAGATAAAAAATTACTACCTCTGTCCGAAAATGATTGCACGAATGGACATTTCAGGTGTGAAATTAGGGTATCTCCTCCAAATCAGTGAACCTCCCACGCATTAGGAATACTTTTGAATACAAAATTTCAAATTGAATCCAATTAGAGTCCCCAAAGGTCCTAAATAGGAATGACAGCTGATTTATCCACGAAAAACAGTGGGAATGATGATCATTTTTCACTGTGCTCACGTATAAGTTTTGTAAATTTATATTTATTGAAATCGATTTATACAGGAATCGAATATATTTGTGGTAAAGTGTACGTGCAATAAACTGTATAATATAATAAATTGTACCGTAAACTTACACTCGTGCAATCACTTTCGGACAGAGGTAGTACATCATTCTATGTGGAAATTTATTGGGAATCGAAGTATGGAGTCGTAATTCGATGAAACCTCAAAACTTGATCAATAGTCTAACGCAGCTAGTACGCGGCCGAGGCCATTAAGTGCTCGTTGAGTGATTTTAACTTTACAGCGTAATATCAATATCAAAACGTGATCAATAGAATGCCCGAAACAAAGGAATGTACGTCATTTTTCACTGTATAACCAAATAGTCTTGATAAACTTGATGGCACTAACAGTAAATATATAGGTTTTACGAAATAAATGTGCCGGATACAATTGGAGATACGAAACACGAAATTTCGTAAACCCAGATACTGGATATAATTTGATTTGACATTTATATGCCAAAATTATATCCAGAGATATAATGGGTTTTACGAAATAGAACGAAATTTTGTATCCGGAGAGAGTTTCAGAGTCATTATTTTGCAATGCAAGCACCCGAGCGGACGGCCTCTGTGGTGCCGCACGCCGACCACATAAGTCCAGGTGATTCAACAACAGGGGACCAGGTGATGTTGCTTAGGTATGGTAGCAAGACACGCTACCAGTACGAGAGGACGCTCATGCGCCTTAAAGCATGGCTGTTGCGCGAGCATCCTGGTTGTATCACCAATGGTGAGGTTGATCTTCCCCTCGATCCAGTCGCCTGCAAAGGCTTCTTGGCGTATGAATGTGTGAAACGAGGACCAAGTGGTGCTGAGGTTGAACCACAGCAGTTCAAGTCATACTCTACTGTCAACGCATGCAAGAGCGCCATCAAGTTCATGCATAAAGAGTCCAATGTCCGCGTGTCCGATGAGCTGGAAACACTATTGGCAGGTACGATATGCGTGCATAATCCTTGATTTGATTCATACGTTAACAACGATTCAGACTTTGCATGCGGGTACAAGCGTAAGGTTGCTCAACTCAAGGACAGTGGAGACATGGCGATTGGTGAAGGAAAGCGACCAATGACGTTTGACGGTCGATACATTTTACATAACATCTATTATATACATGTTGTTCATAAGTTTATAGGATATTGCTTCTTGGCAGCAAAGGCTCTTGGCAGTGAAGCCGAACACAACCTCAGTACAATGGTTCACCCATTTTTGCTGCTTTGCTGGAACTTGATCGCACGGTCGGCATCAGTAGCTGCCATTAGATATGACCATTTGGCATGGGAAGGTGTACCTTTTATAATAACCACATTAGCATATTAGGTTGACCATGAAATGTAGGTGACGCGTTAGTGGTTCAGTATGCGTTTACCAAGAACGACCAAGTGGGGAAGAACTGTACCCCTCGCCACATCTTTGCAAACCCTGGAAATCCAGCAATTTGTCCGATTCTGAGGTGCATTTATTTTCCTCGGATAGTGTACCATAATATAAATATATTGTATGATTAGTTTGGCTGTACTGATTTTTACACGAGGCGCCCAACGTGGGCGATCGGCCAACCTCGTTTTTGGCGAAAACGCGGGCGAACGATTTTCAGCGTGGCTGTCAAAGACCTGTGAATTGCACTCCGTTGAGATGTCATCGTTTGGTGTTTTAGTGAAAGACATCGGCACGCACTCGTTTCGAAAGGGTGTCGCCAGCGAGCTATCTAACACACCTGGGGGACCAGAAGCCGTGAATGTGTGGCTCCGAGCCGGTTGGACGCTTGGAAGTGTCCAAGGTCGATACATCTTTGCCGGTTCAGGTGGCGACCAGTTCGTTGGACGTGCAGCAGCAGGTTAGTCGACGTTCAATATTCCAGCTTTAAACAAAACACATGTGTAATTAATTAAATATATACTTATAAACACACTAGGGCACAATGTGAACGACGTTGAGTTTTCGTGCCTCCCTCCGCACTTCAAGGATGTTGGGCTGAGCAACGAGCAGTGGGAAGCTGCCCTGCCCGGGTACAGTACGTTTTACCCCAGCTCGTTTCGCCAAATTACTCCGTTCTTGGTGGCATCGCTCTCGCACCATTACATTTGGCTGCAACACAATTTGGGCAAACACCATCCGCTGTTTTTGGCCCCCGTTTGGACGTCTGGGTTACTACCAAAGTTAAATGTCAACGTTGAAATGGGCCGAATGCACAACTCAACAACTAATTTACGATCCTCCGGCATCCCACCCTTCGTTGCTATCACAAACCGTCTGGCCACGGTTGAAAACGAATTGAAAATTGTCAACGAACAAATCAACTATTTACCGTGCAAAATTAGTGACCAGCTACGCGCATCGAAAGACTCCTCGGCAACCACGACACATTTGGAGTCCTTCCGCGACTCCGTTTTGTCTGAAATCCGCACTTTGATTGGGGCGTCCAAGTCCCCAGAACCCCCAGCCAGTGTCAACGGCGTCGTGACAGAGCCTTGGTGGACCACCACAAACCCGCAGGAACAACGCAGGCCCTCCCTGCCACCAGGGAAGGTTTTTGACCTGTGGAACGCGTGGTGGTACGGCTTACCTGGCGATGGCATTGTGCCCCTGCGACTCGTGCGACCTCAGGACCTCGCTCGCCGTTGCGACCGCGTGAACTACTCCAAGCTCAAACAAGTCATTGCATCATTGATGAAGTTCTCAACTGTACCTGAAACCGAAGTCCAGCGCATGGCCGTGGTCGACCGGTCGGCCTTGTTTGCATCTTGTCTTGAGCGGCTTGGCCATTCGATGCTAGTCGTAGGGATGGAGAACGACGTAAGCAAGCGTAGACTAGATGAAATGACGTACCCAACTATGTATGATCTCATCAAGAAGTATAAACTTTGAATGGCATGTGTACCTATCATGGTTCTTGTGTCCTCGGATCTTGCAATGTCAATGTGTGGGTCAAACCTGTATCGAAGTGAGGAACATATCAAGTTATAAAGGGTTTCGTAGACATTTCGTAAACCCCTCATTATCTCTAAATATATACATCATTGACTTTTTGTAACAAAACTACTTCTACAAATGCATCCGGATAAAAAAAGGACGCTGGTTGCTGACGCATAGTGTTAGCATTATACTTCGAAGTATGTGCACGCGGGGGTAGGACGAAGTCCCGGGGTTACAGGGTTACGGGAAGAAAATTTGCTTGAACGGTTTTCAGTTTTGGCTGAACGGTATCCAGATTTCTTGAACGTTTTCCCATAGTTTCCCTATAAAGGCGTGCCATCGCTACAAATGCCATTGTACGTCTGGGGTGTCTCCAGGGAGGCAGGTAGCCATAACGAGTACATGTAATGATGGAGCACTGCCACTTGTGTGACCAAGTGCCGTGATCCACAACACTGGGTCAAGTTGTGCGACATCTACACGCTCCACCAAGTGTTCACTATGTAGCCGCACCAAAGCGTTGCATGTCGTCGTCGAAGCTGGAGACGCGACTTGCAACAACAATCCGCTACATGACGTGACTCCATGGGATTGTGGGCGTTGATTGCACAGTACAGCCAACGGCGCGCTGTGCCTGGATTGCCGCTGTATTGTGCTTGTACGCGTTTGGCCAGCAAAGGAAATACGTGTATCTGAAGTCATGGAGGGTGAAATAGAGATGGTGTTCCGCTAACGTTACTACTCCCAGTACTAGTACTTCCGTTTTGAGGGGTACATGTCACTACACCATTGGGAGGAACGATGGTACAGTACTTCGAAGTATTAATAGGGTACTATACTCCGTATAACGTTAATACTTATTCAAAGGCCACCCTTCGCAACATATACTGGTAACGTTACCTGGTACATGTACTCGTAGACGTCGACCACCGAACTACTGTACCCTTCGTCCCTACCAACATGTCACGAACGTCTGGGGTGCATGCACCATTGCACCTATTGTCTAAGTCAGGGCTAAGTCACTTTATCAATCAAGCCATTAATCGTGATGTCCTACCCCCAATTACTTCGGGTGCACGCTGCGATTGCCATGGTCTTGGAAAAAACGGCAATACTAGTTTGACGAATCAACAAATTGCAATATATTTTCAGACACAAGCGTCCTACAGTACTACAACACGACGACGGCAGAAGCCACTGCCATGACGAGGGCTGCCACGGTTGACACTTGCGAGGACGCCGCAGAACTTTGAGCAAGTGGAGCGGGCGTGGTCGCAGAACTCGACTGGGCGGCTGAGGTCTGATTTTTTGTTGTGGCGGGGGTGATGGGGGCGGCGGTGGATGGTTTTCCTGTTCGTCCAGCATAGTTGGGGCATAAGGTCGAGAAAAGCGCGGTCGTCGGGACCGCTTGGTTGTCGAGGACAAACTGACACACGGGAAGGGTCGCGGAGATGCCGGCGTAGCTCGTCGCGGCTTTGTCGCATTCAGGATGCGAGCAAAACAGCTTCAGTTGCTCTTTCGTAGGTAGCTTTGTCGGCGTGGGGAGGAAGGCGTACCCAGATTTGGTCATGCACTCGTTCAGTTCTCCGACAATCGGCCCAAACGCTTTCGAGATCGCGCCGACGTCGCATTCCACGTCCTGCGCGGCAACATAGGTAGTGGTGATGGCTGCGAAGATGGACAAACACTTCATGGTGAAGCCGTTGTATGTGTATGCGAAGTGCAGCGAGACGGAAAGTGAGTGGCATGTTGGCACCTTTCTCTCCCGAGTGCAACACTGGGTGTTACGCTTAACTTTGTGATTTCATTGATGTCGTGCTACAAATTCACAAAACGTGACCAATAACAATTCGCTACGCGTGTTTTTCTCATCATACATTCACAATACGTGGTGATATTATAGTCGACATACGGCATATGGTACGTCGAAAATCGATTTTGATTGGCTACACTATGCACAACATATGCCCAGATACAAACCGCGCCGAGACATCGGATTGGCTAATATCCACTTGCCTTTCCGGTAGCTAATCCAAGACAAGTAATTTCAGATTGGGGTGTCGAAGCCGTTGTAGCTTTGGGGCTAATAGGGAAGGCATACGAAGTATTGATATGATGGAAACTCATGTTGTGCTAGTTCAGTTGTTCTATCTGTTGGGCGTTCGGAAAGGCGTTCTTCAAATTTCAAGGCGTTCTTCAAATTTCGTTCACAAACGTCAATCGAGCACATTTAGAGCCGAAACATCTGATTGGCTAATATTCACTTCATCCTTTCCAGTTGAAAATCGAATGGATTACAGCCAATCAGCGACACATAATTTCGGAGCGACCAATGGCAGAGATTGGTGCCTGGTTCGGTCGGCGAGATCGATCGAACGGGTCCGGAAGGTCATACGGTCCAAGTATGAGGTTCCTTTCAAAATCTGATCCCAATATGTTATAATAGTTCATCGAATTGGTAGAAGTACGTGCTAGTTGTCCAATACTATACTACGTATAGTACTAACAACGCTACAGTAGTTTGCTAAGGGCGGGTCTGGATGCAACGAAAAATGGCATAAAATGGTCATTTTTCCAAGAAAAGTTGCCAAAATCGAAATATTCCATTTTTCGAAAATTTGTGCGTCTGGATGCCACTAAAGTTCAAAAATTTACTATTAATAGTATGCCACAATTTTCTCGAGAATCGGGTGTTTTAGGGCATAAATAAAATGGACCGATTTGGTCCAACTTTTTTATGGAGGTTTGTTTACGTTGAAGTCTTGCACTTCAATCGGATATCCAATATTTTTTCAATAATTCAACTGGCATCCAGACAAACTTTGTTGATACTTGTTTACTCCTCTTTCTCATGGGATATGAGACGTTGCGAAATTTTTGCAGACCGGTGTATGGCATAATTTTATGGGGTGGCATCCAGACCAGCCCTAACTCTTACAGTTAATAATACATGTAAGTTACTATAAATATTAATAAAATAGTTGTAACATTACATGAAAATGGATCCAAGAAGTGTGATGTTGCCAGTCCGCCAACGCGTTAACAGAGGTCGACGGCACTGAGGGGACAAAAGAACTTTCCTTTTGAGCTACCTGACCATTTTTCCTGAAATTTTGTGTGTGAGCTGGACACATTGTGAAAGAATAAAGTGCTTTGGATGCCATAACCTAGGGCGCCAGTCATCGGCTAAGAAACCAGTCATCGGTGGGAGGTTAAAGGTCCCAACTGCATCCGGATATTAGATACGGATAAGAGTCATATACAAAATCAAGATACAACTCAGCGGCCACCCCTAAGGCCAAATATCAAAACGCCCATGTAAAATACAGCTAACGTAAACAATCAATTTAAGAGATTCAATCAATTTAAGACGTATGTGCAAGAACCAATCAAAAGTCGTGAATTTTTCGCGGCATAACCCGTGCAAATTTATACACTTAGCGCACTTGAAAAACATTTTGCCGCCTTTCAATGCCAGGACCACGTCGCGGCCGATACTCCTTGGAGGAGCTGCAACAAGCCGTTCAACACGTTGTGGATGGTGAAAATGGCAGGACGGTGTCAAAGCAATCACGCATCCTATACGCAACGTTGATGAAATCGGTTCTACGGGAAAAAGCAGGAATCATCACTCAAGCCAAGCGACGGGGACCTCCGACAGCGCTCCCTAAAAGCTGCGAGGATGACATTGTTGCTTGGGTGTGTGGCATGCAGCACGAAGGACATCCGGTTGACCATCATACCATCATGGTCAAAGCAACTCAAGTGTACCGCCGCCTTGTCCCCCACGCAACCTTGTCTGATGGATGGTACCAGCGTTTCATGGCTCGCCACTCTCAACTGACGAACCGCGTCGCTCAAGTTATCTCACACGCCCGGAGCAACGTGGACGAAGCAGGCATCGAGCGCCTTCACCAATCATTGACGGACGTCATTGCTGAACATGGAATAACGGCGGACCGAGTGTTCAATATGGACGAGACGTCGTTTGCCTCTCGGCGAAAATCCAAGGACGTTGTGGCCCTAAAAGGGTCGCCGAATGTCTGGGCGAAGACGATCACCACGAATTTCCACCTCTCCATTGTGGCCTGTGGCAGTGCATTAGGGACATGGATCCCACCACTGTTTCTTTTGCCTGGCGAGACCGTGGAAAAAGCAATTGGGCTACAGTGCACAGTCCCTGGCGCGTCAGTCTCAACGTCTCCAAAGGGCTTTATGGACGAATTCATGTTTACTACATGGTTGGAGTATTTTGCAGGTATATATCTGTATATTCATAAATATTTATATGCTAATACTTACTACTACTCTGTAATATATCGCAATAGTTATATAGATATCATAAAATATACTAGTATGTATATTTATGCTTATTTTGCAGGTATATATCTGTATATTCATAAGTATATGTTAATATTTACTACTACGTTGTACTGTACGTAATATATCTAAACAATCATAACGTTATCATAAAATATGTGTGTATTTATGTGGTATGTTCATATCACGCCAAGTGTTACTAATATTATATATATTAGGTGCCGTGGACCCAAGCATTAGACGTCCCTTGTTGTTGGTGTTTGACGGGTTATCATCACACTATTCACGTCATATCATTGATTTGGCCAGAAGCTTACACGTGATCCTGCTGTGTCTGCCCTCGAATGCCACACATCTCTTTCAGCCGCTCGATGTGTGCGTATTTGGGCCATACAAAAGCGCGATCCGGCAAGCTATTTTCAACGAAATGGTCAACGACAGTATGATTATCTATATTATTGAGCTATTGAGATAAATAAATGACCTTATTTATTATAGCGACGGGAGACCTGCACACCATTTCCAAGCCGACGGCGCTTCGTATTGCATCTACTGCATGGCTGACCCACATGTTACCGAAAAACATTGTGAGCGGTTATGAGACCGCTGGGATTTTCCCGCTGTCGCTCGATAACATGATGCAACGGTTCAACTTGTTCAAAGGCGGAGGATCGCCCGAGTCCTACGTTCATGTGACATGGTTGGTACATCAGGAGGCAATTCGAACGGAAGTGCTTTGTCTTCCGGGCAAGGGGAAAAAACGAGTTGGTCGAAAAACGATTGACGTTGGAGGACGCATCCTTACCTTGTCGTTGCTCAGCGAAATCGACGCCACTGTGGAAGAGCGCAAGGCGGCCACCAAACGAAAGCTCGCCTTACAGGGGAAGCGGGCCAAGATGCGGA